GAACGGCCATCGTAAGAAGTATTCTAGAATACGAATATCGGACATTCAATAGCAGACATAATCAACAATTTCCAAATCCTATCCAACGTGAGGTGAGCAGATAGGAAGCAAACAGCCACAATGTCAAGAGGATGAGGGAATGACTTAAGCAGCAGGTACAATAGAGAGTACGTACTGCATCCCTCAACCTGGTACTGGTGGGTCGGATCAAGTGGACCCCAAGCCTCGAGACCCTATTAGCGCAAGAATTGCCAGGACCTGAGGCGAACCAATCCCCTTGGCCGTGTTTTTTACGTATGCATTTTTTTATGATGTTTTTTTTTTTAATGCTGTGTTTTTTGCTCTCCAAGGTACTACCTGTTGTGAGTGTTAATGAGATTTTCCTGTGCTGCCAACCACACTCCTCCAGCGATGGACCCGGATATCGGCGCACCCATCGACTGGGATGTTCCAGGAGTGACATACGCAATCCTCCAGGCTCAACAAGCTTCCTTTCCAGTGGTCGTTCCTTCTCACAGTTCTCCTCCACGCCTCTCCACCTTTTCCCATCCCTCCTTCGTCCCATCCGTTCCCTACTCCTACTGTACATAGCAGTCCTTCACTGTCTCTTCACCATCCCTCCGTGTCGTGCCGTAACCTAAACTTCGTCCTACACTCGCTCGCTTGAAGGCCGACTTCCCCTCGCTTTTCCCAACCCTTCCCTCCTCCTCCTCCTCCTCCTCCTCTTCTTTCCCCAAGTCCCGCGATCCCGCCGACCCTCCGCCAGTCGTTTCAATCTCTCCATCGTATCCCTCTCTTCGCGGCGCTTCGACGACATCTGTGGCTCCACTAATTGTCCCAATCGAACCCTCCCGTTGCTCGCGTGCGTGGGAACAAGCTCCTCCTTTCCAAGAGCCCTTTTGACGATCTCTTCTCTCCTCTCCGACTCTCGCTACAGCAATCCACGTCATTCACCTAATATCAGGCCTCTTTGCTACCTCCCGGCGGTCTTTGTGCGCCCGGTAACATTACACGAAGGCCCAAACCGAAACCAATTCTTTGCGACGAACAGCCAGTAGAAGGACCCCTTTGAATAAGCAAGCCTCTGTGCCATTCGCCCTGAATCGATTTCACCCAACCGACTAGCCGACCGAGCTTCTCCCTCAACCACCAATTTTTCGAAGATCCGGTGCAAAGAAAACATCATCAACCACGTCTCTCGCTGCCCACCTCCTCTCCGAGGCCAACTAGAGACGCGACTCGCCCCCCCTCGCCCCAAGGGGCCTCAACCTTCAAGATGAGCACCGACGCCGGAAAGGAGCTGTTGGACCTGCTGAAGAACCCTTTCAGTTCTCAGGTTTGTAAACCCTCCATCAATGTTGAGCTGTCGTGTCGAGAATTCGCGCTGGATGCTGATTGCCATATAGCTCGCCAAGAACTCAGTCTGGGCTGCTCTGGGCACCTCACTTGGTGTCACTGTCGGTATCGCCGTGACCTTCTCCTTTCTTCGACCGTACAACCAGTCCGTTTATGCGCCCAAGCTGAAGCATGCCGACGAGAAACATGCTCCGCCGCCCATCGGCAAGAAGATCTGGTCCTGGATTCCGCCGCTATGGAACACGACCGAGGATGAGCTGGTGCACCACGTCGGCATGGACGCCACCATCTTCCTCCGCTTCGTTCGCATGTGCTTATACATCTTCGCGACCATCTCTGTGTTTGGCCTTGGAATCCTGATTCCCACCTACCTAAGCACTGCAGAGAGCAGTTCGACCAAGGATAGATCCTGGATCGATTTGATTACTCCCATTGCAGTATGGGGCAATGCATACTGGGCACAAGTCGCAGTTGCGTACATTATCACTTTCGTTGTGATGGGCTTCTTGTGGTGGAACTATCGCAAGGTCTTGCGCCTTCGACGCAAATATTTCGAGAGCGAAGAGTACCAAAACAGTTTGCACGCCCGGACCCTCATGGTAAGACTGGTTTTCGGATGACGTAGTACTGGAACCCCAAACTGACCCTTAGCAGATGTACGATATTCCCAAAGCCAAATGCTCCGACGAAGGCATTGCGACAATCATCGACGAAGTTGTGCCGGCCTCCTCCTTCTCTCGCACCGCCATCGCCCGTAACGTCAGGGAACTTCCCAAGCTGATCGAGCAACATGACCATACCGTTCGCAAGTTGGAGGAGGTACTGGCAAAGTATATGAAGAAGCCCGACCAGCTCCCGGCTGCCAGGCCGATGTGCAAGCCCTCCAAGAAGGACCCTTCTTTCGCGACGTACCCCAAGGGACAGAAAGTCGATGCGATCGAATACCTGACACAGCGCATCAAGGAGCTCGAACTCTTGATCAAGGAAGTTCGACAGAGTGTTGACAAGCGGAGCACCATGCCCTACGGCTTTGCCAGTTACGCAGATATTGCTGAGGCGCACAACATCGCATACGCCAGTCGCAAGAAGCATCCGCACGGCGCAACAATCACCATGGCCCCGCGCCCGAACGATATCCTTTGGGATAACCTGGTACTGACGCCCTCGGTTCGCCGGATGAAGCGTATTGTGAACAACCTCTGGATTGCGTTGCTTACCATCGTCTGGATCGCTCCCAACGCCATGATCGCCATCTTCCTTATCGATCTCAACAACCTGGGCAAGGTCTGGCCGGCTTTCCAGACGGAACTTCAAACCAACCCCGAATGGTGGTCCATTGTCCAGGGTATTGCGTCTCCTGGTTTGATGTCGCTGGTCTACCTTGTCTTGCCCATGATCTTCCGTCGCCTCTCGATGAAAGCCGGAGACCAGACCAAGACGGGTCGCGAGAGGCACGTTCTAGCCAAGTTGTACGCTTTCTTCGTGTTCAACAACTTGATCGTTTTCTCGCTCTTCAGCACCGTCTGGTCGCTGGTGTCGGCCATTGTGAGCGAAACTAGCGAAAAGAGCGTCGACGCTTGGCAGGCCATCATCGATCAGAACCTTGCAACCACCATCTTCACGGCGCTTTGCTCAGTCAGCCCCTTCTGGGTCACTTGGCTCCTCCAGCGCAACCTTGGTGCCGCCATCGATCTCGCCCAGCTTTGGAAACTCATCTACAGCTTCTTCGTGCGCAAGTTCTCGAGCCCGACGCCCAGAGAGCTCATTGAGCTTACGGCGCCTCCCACCTTTGAGTACGCTTCTTACTACAACTACTTCCTTTACTACGCGACAGTCGCTCTGGGTTTCTCTGGGATCCAGCCTTTGGTTCTTCCTGCTGCCGCGTTGTACTACGGAATCGACTACTGGCTCAAGAAGTACCTGTTGCTTTACATTTTCGTCACCAAGACTGAGTCCGGAGGCATGTTCTGGCGTGTGCTCTTCAACCGCATGCTCTTCGCCGTCTTCCTGTCGAACTGCGTCTTCTTCCTCAGCTCATGGGCGCGGGCCGACTGGGCCTACCACAGCCAGGCCTTTGCCATTATCCCTCTGCCCATTTGCTTGATCATCTTCAAGGTCGTCTGCTCCCGATTGTACGACGACAAGATTCACTACCTCTCGACAACCAACGTTGCCAAGCACCCCGAGGCTGGCGTGATGAAGGAAACTCGCCTTCGCAGTGAGCGCCTGGCTTCGCGTTTCGGTCACCCAGCCTTGTACAAGCCCCTCATCACTCCGATGGTGCACCAGAAAGCGCAGCCTTACTTGCACGTTGTGTACAAGGGTCGCCTTTCGGACGGCAGAGATGTCAACACTGGCGACATGATGAGTGTTTCTGGATACTCGGACGTGTACGCGTTGGATCCCATGAAGTCTGGCAAGCCCGGCAAGTCGGCGGGTATTCCTGGCTTCGAGTTCGTTTCTGAGTCCAACCTTGATTTCGAATTCTATAAGAACAGGGCAGAATTCGCAGAGGAGCATGGCCAAGGCGACATCTTTGGACGTGATCCCGACATCATGCGCCCCGGTACTCCTGGATCAATGTCCGATTTCGGCTCTCGCCCCGGAACGCCCACGAACGCTGCTTTGCAGGGTGGCATGACGGGTCAGCGCCGCGACATGTCCGGTTCTAGGCCTACTCCGCCTGCCGGGTATATGTCACCAACTGGGAGCGGCCGTCAGTCTCCTACCATGGGACCGCCCCAAGCCGGCTTCGCTCAACAAGCGACCATGGGCGAGCGGTCCCGTAGCCCCCTGTACACCATCAACAGCAACGGCAGCGACACGGCGCTTGTGAGAAATGCCGCGGGTATGCCAATGAGTGCACCCACGGGTGGACCGAGTGTTGGAGCTCTAGGCGGCGGACCGAGGGGATATAGTGGACTCCCCCAGGCCGATGCCGAGACGCCCGACCCGGACCCGACCCAGTACGACTACTTCCGTGGGTCAGCAAGGCGGCGCCAAAACGACCAATGGTAGTCGATTGAGAAAGTGTCATGATTGGTTTTCAATTTTCTTTGTGTTGTGAGCGATGGTAGAGCGAAGGGTTGCCTCGCAGTCCGGGATCTGGTCTCCATGTGATGGCATTGCATTCTCGGCGTTGATTTGTGAGAGGGGGGGAGTCCGAAGAGCGACTCTTCCGTCGGTGGACTGCGGGCTGTGAACAGCAGGATTCCCGTCATCTCGACCGGCCCTGTTTTTACTTTTTTCCTTATTCATCAAAATGGTAATGATCAAAGAGACGAGACATAGACTGAAGAATTGCGTGGGACGTTAGTACATAACGGTGCTCTCCCTGGAGCAATATTTCCCCTGGCGCGATGCTGGTGGGAAACAGATTATAGATTTAATGAGTAACCCTTCCGCAATTTTTGGTTTAGAAATGTTCGACCTCGTCGATGAATGTCACTCTCTGGCCAAGGTATTAAAGTCATATAATCTGCGGTAGACAGTATGGCCGTACCACATGTTGATCCAAAAATCTTTCGTTTCTATTATCATTACTTTGGTCTCTATATGAGAATATTTCATCTTGACATTATAACCTTTTGGGGAAAAGCCAGCCCCTCATCACCTCATCAACTTTTCCCCCAACTACCAATTGCTCACAAGCTCCCACCCTCGGCAAGCTTCCGCGTCCACACCTCCAAATCACCAACCAACGCCTCGACAACCTCCGTCTCGGTAATAGCCTCGTTCCACGTCACCGTGATCGTCGTCGCTCCGCCAGCGATGCCGGCGACGTTGACGCAGAAGGCTTGGGCGACTGTGCCGGCGGATTGGGAGAAGACGGCGCGGGTTAGTTTCCAGTCCTGGCCGTTGTTCTTATCCTCGCCCTGACTGTGATTGTTGCTGCCGCCGCGGTTGTCGCTGGTGTTGTCTTTGTTGTTGTTGGTGGTGGTGGTGGTGGTGCTGCCGTTCATGGCGCCCAGGTTACTCACCTCCCAACTATTTCCCCTCGCCTTACCATCCTTTTTTCTGAAAAAGTCGCGGAAGTCGCTTACGTAGCGGAGCATTGCCGTGATGTCGTCGTTGGGTAGGCTTGTTAGCCGAGTTTGGAGGTCTCCTTTGATGGAGGCTGCGACGGCCCAGATTGCGTCTTCGAGATTTGGGCCCAAGGAGGCAGGTTCGCGGAGTGCGGTGGTGAGGGTCGTGGAGATGGGATGATTCGTCGACGTAACGAGAACACACATTGTATTATCGATATCGAGACTTGCGTCCTGCACGAAGCGGCGCATGCTGATGGCGGAAGACGGTTCAAATGACGGTGCTGTCTCGGCAGGGCTATGTCGCGCGAGGGAGGCTGCTACCAGCGCGTGGATGAGGGGCGTCAGCGTTAGACCCTTTGCGCGGGACGCAGATAGCAGGCCGGCGACTGTTCTGGCCTCGAGGGTGACGATGCGGACGTTTGTATGAAAGGGCGTGTCGAGGTGTACCGCTTCGCCCGTCCATGGTTTCGCGGCTGGCTTCGGTTTGAGCCAGGCAGGGCCGAAGGCGGACCATAGTTCGCGAAGGAAGTAGGGCCAAGAGATGTGGCTGTTGACGAGGTTTTCTTGTGGGAGGGGGAGCGTTGGAGGGGTTGGGAGGGTGAGGATGGTGGTTTGGAGATGTTGGATGGTGGAAGGGTTGTTTAGGGCGTGGAGGAGGCGTTTGTGGAAGATGGAGCCGCTTGTGCCGTCGCTGATTGCGTGGTGGAAGAAGTAGATGACTTCGATCTCTGCTACTGGTTTACCAGGTGAGGTTTGGATTGGGAGTATAGAGATCTTCCATGGTGGACGCTGGTCTACCTCGGGCCAGAGCTGGTCGTGTTGGTGGGATAGGTGTTTGCAGAGGGTTGCATCCGGACCGCTGGCACCGGCGCTGGAATCGGGGCTGGAGCCGGAGCCGGAGCCGGGGTGGGACGGACCGAACCACTGAATATGGTTTGACAAGTTGATTTGTGGCACGCGCACGAACGAGGCTGTCTGTTTGTCTTCGTCGGCGATGCCGACCTGCATGAAGGGTTGCTCTGCAATGACCTGTGCGACGGCGTCTTGGAGAATTGACTGTGCTTGGTCGAGGGTTGAGACTCCTGGTGGGAGTGCGTAGCGGCCGGTGACGGCGACGCAGCGGTAGAGGCCGAGGGAGTGTCGGGCTGTTGAGTACTTTTCCCTGTGATATCAAGGTTTGTTAGATTTCATTAGGATATGTCGGGTCCGAGCGATTGGTGGTTTGTTTGGATGTATCGTACATGTTGCCGCATGGCCGGATTACTTCTGTCTGGGAACTCATGACTTGCTGCTCAAAGTACCTAGCTGAAGCTGGTATGTGGATGGGGTTAATGGATGGGGTTTATGGATGGCAGATGGTATTGGCACTCAGAAAGTTTCTAGGCAGATGAGTCGCGAGTCGTGACTGCTAATGATGAATCGTGACTTCGTGAGAGCTTATGCTCGGATGAGCTGGAGCCTGGAGATGACGGGATATACTAGAGTCCTCCGCTTTGTTGCGTCGACTTCCTGGTCCCTGCAGGTGTTCCTGAGCGCCCAGGGGTACCCATCCTGAAGGGGTATAGCTCTCCGATATGCCCGTTGATTGAATGGGGCCATTGGACAGGGGTTAGGCATGGCGAGTCGTAACGTATAATCTTCGCTTAGGATATGAGAGTTGAATGAGTTGTGGAGGCCTGCGGGCAGTGAACACGATACCAAGAAGATAGCCAGGCACGCACGTCAGACATGTGAACAAAGATCGTTTGTTCTTCTGGGGAACAGACCCAGGCCCAGAAACGTGGTTACGGGATACCGTTAAAGCGTCTTTGAGAGCCGCTTGACGGCGCACCGTTTCTAGAACGGGGATCGGCCATTCAGGGTCCAGACCGGTGCAATCTTGGAGCTTGGACCAGTTTGAACCGGAAGCTCCCGATTAGTCATTTCCTATCTGTTTTTCCGCTCCGAGATTAGGAGGGGCAGTGTGGGGTGTTGATCCAAATGGGAAAGAAGCACCAGGGGTGACCCCCGGTCAATTTCCCTAGGAAGACGCGGTTCACCACTTGCTCGTTCGCCGACCCAAAATATTGTATTTCCCCTTTGCGCGACCACCTTTCCCCTGACGATAATGCGAATAAACACGACTAGGCTGACCATCTTGGCCTCGTAGCTTCGAAAAGCTCGTGTCGCTGTTCCCAACCCGTTCTCGTACTGTTATGACGCGACTAGTCGCCAAATCGCATCGCAAGAAAATGCAGCTGCGCGCAGCTTGACAACATACCATCACTACCACCGTCGCCACCACCACAAATTACGAACGTGGCCACAACCTTAGTCGCCATGGAATTCAATCGATCGCCATCCTTCGGCCTTGGCGCTCGAGCGAACCGTCGCGCTTCTACTCAATTGACTATCGACGAAGAAGGCCGTAAACCGCTATTCTCCAAACCCTCTCGCGAGAGCCTCGAGCCCCAGAATCCCTCCCCGGCTGCAGCAGGAAGCAACAGATTCGGATACTCGCCAACGAACGCCCAAACCGGTCCGACTGGCCGACCCCCCTCTCGCGCCGCGATCCCCCGACCTTCGAGCTCCCTTTCGCAGACGCCGTCCCTCAATTCGAACCACTCCATCGAGATCGTCTCTCCCGGTTCTCGCATTCCCCGACCCAAATCCACAATCGGCATTTTCGCAAAAGGCTCCGGAGTCTCCGTCGCCGAGGCCTGGAAGCTGGCGGACGAGAACCGTGTACAGACTCTCGAGAAGGCGCGGCGAGCCACTCCCGCAGCCATCGACGCATCACCAAGCCCTGCACCACGCCCCTATACCAATCGACAGGTCTCCGACGAGTCAAAATCGCGGCGATCGTTAGGCAAAGATGCGGTCGACTACAGCCGGCCCAGACCCCTTTCGAGGATGTCGAGCGACTCGTTGCGAGACAGTTACGTGGGACGATACGGCGGTAGTCCAAGCTCGAATAGCCTCTCTAGCTCTGGAAGCTTCGATCGTCGACTGAGTCAATACGAGCGCGAGATGGCAGAGTCGCCGAGCGCGTCTCGGGATCAGGATCACTTCTTCGGTAAGACCAGAGTGGGACCAAAGATTGCCGAGACAGGACACACCTTGGCGAGGAGAACAAGCAACAGCAGCCTCAACGGGTCTCAGAGTGTGAACCGGCGGGTCAGTAATAGCAGCTTGAACGGAGGCCCAGGCTTGGGTAGGAGGACAAGCTACGGCAGTTTGAGCGCCAGCCCGCGTCCCGGAGCATTTGCCAAGAGCCATGTTCCTGAAGGACACATAAAGGAGCTCCTGGAGCAGGATGAGAAGGGTATTAAGCGATCCGCCAGGCCAAAACCAGACGATGACATTGCAGCCGACACACCGTTGCCCTCTGTAGAGACCTCTCGTCTGCCTCAGGAGCCCACTCCGCCAACATCCCGACCGGCCTCTGCGAATCCGGAATACCGATCCCCGGACAAGAGTTACGCGTGGCAGCTCGACGCGGACTTCACGGCGGGAGACTTGCAGATTTCAGACAGTCCACGGATAAGAACCGGTGGCGCTGGCTTGAGCGAAGCCTCCGATCGACGATCCTCTTACGGCAGTGCTTATGCTGAGGAGCAGCTCTTGGGACTGAACGGAAATCTCAGGCGGGAGTTATCACTGGGGCCCTCTCCTAGGGCTGGGCGCTCTAATACTAGGATCGACGAGATTCGCCAGCGGGAAGAGAAAGCCAAGGAGGAGCTTGCCGAGTCGCGAAAGGCGCTGCCAAGAGCTAGGAATAACACAAGGCTGGAGGAGATCCGCGAAAGAGAGGCAGAGGCAGAGGAGCAATTGGCCAAGCTACCCCGACGCTCCTATTACCCGACGCCCGATGATCTGCCAGACCGCGAAGTCGATACACAAGCTCCGCGAAAGAACACGAAACTCGACGAGATACGAGACCGAGAAGCCGAGTCATTGTCTAAGAAGGCCGTTGCTACTAGCCGATTGGAGGAGATCAGGGAACAGAACTCAATGTCGAGATCCATGTCACCGGAAGCGCGGCGTAGCGGGGATTTTGCGAGAGACTCGACGCCTATCCGAGAAGCAGCTGGGGAGTCGTCATGGCCCACAGAGGACGGCGAGCGTATCGCCAACACGCCAGTCACGATCTATCGTAACTCGCCGGTGCGGGAGCGAAATAAGTCACTGTCGGAGTCGCCAGCGAACCGAAACGAGCGGGCGAGTCCCAAGCCTGCGAGGCCATTGGGTGCGCATACGCGAACTGACTCAAGGGACTTGTTGCAGAGGCTCGCCAGAGCTGCAAGTAGCAGCCCTGCTCCTGAGACTAACATCCAGCCCGCAGCGACAGACGAGACAAGGGGGCCTAGCATTGAAGACCTCGAGAAGGAAAGGCTGGAAAAGGCGAATCAGGAGAGAGAGAGACTGGAGAAGGACAGACGAGTAAGAGAGAGGCTCGACAGAGAGAGGCTTGAGAGCGAGAGACTCGACAGGGAGAAGCTGGAGAGGGAGAGGTTGGAGAGGGAGAAGATCGAGACGGACAGGCTCGAGAAGGCGCAGCTCGCTAAGGAGAAACTCGAAAAGGGGAAACTCGAGAAAGAGAGACTCGAAAAGGAGAACCTCGAAAAAGAAAGGCTCGAGAGGGAAAAGCTTGAGGAGGAGAAGCGTGAAAAGTTGAAGCTTGAGATGGAAAGGCTTGAGAAAGAAACGTCCAAGGAGACCTTGCAGAGGGCCGAGACACAGCGGCGCAGAAGCGAGTCTAGACAGTCTGCCCCCGAACCCGAACCTAAGGCCAGTTCACCACGACGGGATCGCAGAGAAACCATCAAAGTATCCGAGCCAGCTTCTACCGAGACGAAAGGGACAGATGACTCCAAGTCCAGTTTCACAGATGAGCTGAAGGCGCCGGAGGCAGGGAGGCCCAAGTCTCGCGTGGATCTCGTTGCAAGGCGCCGGGAACGTCGTCAGAAGTCAACCGACTCAGCCAAGGACAACCGGAAGAGCGTGGCCTTGTCGGATGGTGATCCTACCGACCGCATCGAACAAGAGATGAAGCTTTTCGCGCCTGCGGACAATCAGTCTGAGCGCGGATCCAGAGCACCTTCTGCGGAGCCTACTACCGAGGATGAGGATAAGGACCTCGCCGGCGAGACTCCGCGACCAAAGAAGGTTGACCCGCTGTCTCTCCCTACCCCCAGAGTAACTGGGGCTTACGTCGAGACACCTGCGACCCTAAAAGTTGAACGGATAGAGGAGAACACTTTGCCCCCACTGAAGAGACCTGATCCGTCGTCAAATGCAACTTTTGATAGACCGCAGAGTAGAAGAGGATCACGGCCGTCGTCAAGGGGAGGTACATTCTTCAAGGCCACCGAGTCTGGTTCCGAAACAAGTGATCAGAAGGAGATGACCGGAACGAGTACTACTACCAGCCTACGACGCCGCAACAGATCGACCTCTCGGCCGCGTAAACCTCTGACCAACTCAGTCAAGCCGCCGACAGTCAAGGACGATATAATGGAACTTCAGCGCATTCATCAGATTGAAGACTCCACATTGGACGATTTCGAGGAACTATTTAATATGCAGAAGCTTCAGAACGACCCCGACCTGGACATTGAATCGATGCTCGATGATATTGCGGTTAAGAAAGAGGAAGTCGCAGCTAAGCCGAACATTACAAAGAGCCAGCGAAACCACGAGCTAGAACAGTACGACAGGATGAGCAAGACATTGAAAGACGGGCTTTTCAACATACGTACTGCCAAGCAGGGTATCGAGCGCTTGGAGGGGCAGGTTTCTCACGCCGAGGGCGGCAAACATGGCAATGCCGCTACACTTGAGAAAGTGTTAGAGAAGCAGCCGCTAGTCAAGGGGACGCATCACCGCCACAACCCGGACCACGCCCGCGATTGCCCAGATTGCATCCGCCAGACTCCCATCAAGGAGGTGTCGTACCTTCACCTTCCGGTGCCGAGCCTTTACCGTCGCAACCCCTTCCGCCTTACATTCCTCGGGCTAGTATTCCTACTTGTCTCGCTTTGGTATGCTGCCGAGTCTGCCATGTGCGAAGCTTACTGTCGGCCAACTTCATGTTCTTCGACACCTTGCGTCTGGTCACCGACAGATCCCACTTGGGGTGTTGCTCTTCCTGTGAAGCTCGACGAGTGGGCCACAGGTGGCTTGGGCCGCCAACTCGCGAATCAGTATTCCGAGGAAGTGTCAGATCTTTGGGCGGATGCGTTGGATTTTGTGACGGGGACCGATATTACGACTATCGACATCAACACACTTGACTTTTATGACAAGCGGCAACTCCGCCGTCGTCTTCGCAAGAAGGGACTTGCGAAACGGACAGTAGTCGAGTCAGCCAGCGACAAGGCCAAGTGGGATGCATGGCACGCCACACGCGTGGCCAGCGAGAGGGCACAGGACGCGAGGGAGATGGGGTATGATATTGGTGACGCGGATGAGAGCCTTGGGGACGATGAGATATTGTGAGAGGAGGTAATTATTCCCGATCACTGTACATTACTACTAGTCTTTTACATGCCGCGCTTGCTGCCGGATGACAGCACGCTGGATAAGACGCTTTGGGGCACAGAACTCCTTTGGTAATCAAGATATTTGCAAATCACAACCCGCAGACCTTGATACGTGATTTAGTCATGCGTGGGGGATGGATCGGCTGAGTCAAACCACGACATCCCGGGCCGATCGCGGGCTCCGCCGGTTTCCGGGGGTTCAGCCGTGATGGCCCCGGGTCAAAAGATGACATTTCATGACTTTGCATACAGCTAACCAGAATCAACTGCGTTCTGCAAACGAGCCTAATTCAACGGACCCTCAACATGAACCAATCCAACATCAGCTCACAAGTCAAAGCCAGCTTGGTAGAGAAACCCTGGTTCGGCTTCGACCTCGACGACACCCTCCACGAATTCCGCCGCGCCTCCTCCGCCGCCACGACAAAGACGCTCGAAGCCATCTCCAACAAACACGGGACTCCCGTTGATGAGTTGAAGGAGGCGTACGGCCACGTCCTCCGCGCCAAGACGGCTGGTGCTTTTTCCGACGGTAAGACGTCGTTTGCGTATCGACGGGAACGGTTCTCTTCGGTGCTGGACCGGTTTGGTTTACCCAGCGACGATGCGGCGTTTTTGGATGTGTTGTTGGATGTGTATGAGCGGACGTTGAATGAATCGCTTCAGTTGAAGGACGGCGCGGAAGCGTTACTGAAGAAGTTGAAGGGTATGGGGAAGAAGGTTGTCGTGATTACGGAGGGACCGCAAGATGCGCAGGAGAGGACTGTGGGAGAGCTTGGGATCGGGGGGTATGTTGATTTTCTGGCGACAACGAACTTCTTTGGGGTGGCTAAGACGGAGGGGCTGTTTGGGGAGGTGCTGCGACATCTTGGGATTGGGGCGGGGGAGATTGTGTTTGTCGGGGATAGTGTGGTGAGGGATATGGAGCCTACTTCGAGGGAGGGGATTTTCAGTGTGCTTTTTGATGAGAGGGGGGAGACGGCTTGGGAGGGCGGGATGGTGAAGGTGAAGAGTTTGAGGGATCTTGAGGGGTTGCTTGGGAATGGGGATGCGTGAGATGGTAGATGGTCACTCATTCACGATTGCAGCGTCGAGGCGAATGAAGATGTATTGGCATTCTCCTTTGGATTAAGGGCGGTCTTGGGTCGCCTCTATCTTCAACTACCGCGGCGCGGGGAATCTGGTTATGCCCTGCCTTGGGACGAGTTATCATTCATATTCAAGTCATCGCGGAGCTAACATATCCGCCAGAAACAGTGGTAGATGGCGGCGGCACTCGTGCAAGATCTGCGGCGGGACTTGATTTGAGGAATAGGGACATCATACTCAAGAATAAACGTCAAGTTGATTAGTATCATTTTGCTTAGTTCAACGGCGCAGACGTGCCCGTATGGAAAGGCGGTTAAGACAAGCATCGCGACCCATGCTTGGCGCATCGACGTCACTGGTAAGCGCCTACCATTGTCAACCGCAAGAGATCGCCAACGAAGCCAGGAATGTCTACGCCTCTGTGCGTTTAGCCTTGAACCCAGGATCCTACCCACCTACCCCGGATTTTCGCCGTTACCCCTGGCCACGATAGCCCATTAGAACCGGGTAAATATCCCGTCAAGTGCTGGATGACATCGTCACATAGGCCTAGAATCAGCTCTGCTGCGCCGTATGACTTGGCGAGACTGCAGTCGGGCGTCTGCCAAGCTGATGTTAAGCGACCATTTAGAGCACGACTGATTGGTTAATATTGGAGTGTGCGAGCTGTGTCATCTATATACATTATAAAATCTTTGGATGATAGGTGTTCCATGTATCAACTTCATACGAGATCATTCAGTAGCGACATCACGATATCTTTGCGAAGCTTCATCTCGCCCACGAACGGGTCCGAGCAACAGAGACAATAATGAGTGGTACTATCAACCATCACACAGAACTCCAGCTCCCATCCGTCCCCATCATCGTCAACTACAACTCCCGAGCTCTAAATCAACACAACCTTTTGCCGCAATGGCCACCGCAACATGTCCAGACCCTCACCTCATAACACAGCCCACCCACTTCCCTATCCTGGAAAACCTCACATATGTCGTGACGCCAGGCTACAACACATCGGACGCGCCCATGGCGGCCTGCTGCACCCCGAATCCCCTCCAGCTCGCCGAGGGCTGCTACAAGTGGTGCGAGCTTCCCGCGACCTACGCCGACGAGGACACAGCGCTGTCTAGGTTTGTGGCCTGTCGTCGTCGCTGGGCCAGCAAGGGAAAGATGAGTACTAATGGGACATTGACTTATAATGAGACATCTGGATATCCTTTCTACTTGCACGTTGCTGCCAGCGAACCAGTGGGGTCGGGTGTTACGACTGTAGGGCTTAGTATGTTTGTTTTGGTGGCTTCGATGTTTGTGGGTTTAGTTTGATTGTGTCATTGGCGTATTGGTTTCTTATTACGGTCGAGATGTCATCCGAACTGCATCAGCATGGCATTGGGAGCTAAGGCAGGAAGTTGTGGGGTGAAGGTATATTCTTGGTGTTCTTGGGTGTAAACATGGCGTTGCCGGCCTCACCGCAGTCAACTCAATGGAGACATGAGCTTGGGCGATGTATGTCATTAATGAGAGAGTCGGGATTGACGAACAAATCCTGACACGTTGTATGCTGTACATCTCTACTGATTGCGAAGAGGTCAAACCGCGGAGCTTCGAGCATTATCCAAACAAGAGTCACATAATTCAAGAGACATGGAGGAACGCGTTGCAGATCTGTTGATTCAGATTCGCACCCGCTCGTGTCTCTCCAAGTGTGACAAATCATGGGCAATGGCTTTCTTTCCACGGAGACCACGAAAGCTCACTTGGTGTAGAACACCGTTAATTCCATTAAAATCTCGATATCAAAGCGAGGGGGATGTTGATTACCAAGGTGGCTGTAACCCCTCTTCCAATCGACTTACACCGCGATGCGCCAGCTTACAAATCGGCCATCACATCATCTTCAGTCTTACACACCTCACCTACATACCATCACTTCACTATAAACTCACAGCCTGAACCATCTCGATATAACAACTCAATCAAATAATCTTTCATCCAACTGTCATCACCAACAACATCAAACAAACCTTCATAATGGCACCCATCAGAATCGGCATCATCGGCCTCTCCTCGACCGCAACAACAGCCTGGGCATCAAGCGCCCACCTCCCCTATCTCCTCTCCCCGCGCGGCCGCTCCAAATACACCATCACAGCCCTCTGCAACTCGAGCGTCGAAGCCGCGCAGCGCGCAGTGAAAGCCTACAACCTCCCCTCCTCCACAAAAGCCTACGGCAGCCCCGCCGACCTGGCCGCGGACCCGGACGTGGACCTCGTCGTCGTCTCGACGCGCGTGGATCAGCACTACGACACGGCTCTTTCTAGCGTCGAGGCGGGCAAGAGTGTGTACGTCGAGTGGCCTCTCGCGCAGGACGCGAAGCGCGCGGGCGAGCTGGCGGATGCTGCTAAAAGGAGCGGGGCGAAGACGGTGGTTGGGGTCCAGGGAAGGTTTGCGCCACCGCTTTTGAAGGTGAAGGAGATTCTGGAGGAGGGGAGGATTGGAAAGGTGTTGAGTAGTGAGGTGAGGGCGGCGGGTGGTTCGTTGGATCGGAATGTTTTGCCGGCTGGGTTGAAGTACTTCACCCAGCGCGAGGTTGGTGGCAATGTGATCACCATTGGCTTCGGTCACTGTGAGTTCTTCTCTTTGCCCTTTGCCATGAAACCTCACCAAGTATTGACATGGGCCTCGAGTGTTCGACCAGGTCCAGCACGTCCTCGGCGAAGCAACAATCCAGCATTCACACACCCAAATCCAACGCCCCGACGTCAAGATCCGCGACCCGTCAACGAAACAAATCGTCGAGACGGTACCAAGCAACGTGCCCGACCTCCTCGTCGCAACAGCGATCCTGCCCGCATCAAATCTCGTCTCCGCCCAAGGCGCCACGCTCCTCGCGCGGTTCCGACGGGGCCAGCCCTTCGCCGGCGAACCGCAGCTCTCGTGGACCGTCAACGGCGAAAAGGGCGAGATCCGGCTCACGTCGCAGAACAGCGTCGCGCTGCAGGCGTTTGCGGACGTGGACGGGGTCAAGATTGAGGTCCACGACTTTGAGAGCGGCGAGGTGGAGAGTGTGCCGTGGGCGTGGGAGGACGGGTGGCAGGCTGGGTTGCCTGTGCCGGCGAGGTGTGTTGGGGCGGTGTATGAGGCTTTTGCGGAGGGCGATGGGTTGCCTAGTTTTGAGGATGCTGTGAGGCGGCATGAGCAGGTTGATGGGATTCTTTATAAGTCGGGTTGAGTGAGATGGTTTACATGATTATGTAGGCTCACTGTCTTGTCCCGGGGCAGGGACCCAAGTGAGGCGTTTATTTGAGTATCATGAGAAACACGACACAATCTACTTCTTCATTATTACGGTCATTATTCAGAGTTGATTATTGTGCTGTTTGACATGTCTTTTTTCTTAACTCACTTCATGTTTTTCCGTTCACGCTCACGCTCGGTTGAGTCATCCGGCGGCGGCACTAACACGCAGCTAGGCAGACAGTTGCCTTCAGAGACAGCCTCACTTCAACCTCAACCAACACATATAAACCATGAAAACCTTCCACTCACTACGAACAGCATTCAAGCTTCAAATTCAAAAAAAGTCCATTTGAATTCTACACTCGTAGTCACCATGGACACATCACCAATCTACTTCTGGCGGGAAACCGGGCCAGAAGGCTACCTCTCCCAATGGTGGACCTCCAACCCCTTCACCCAATCTCCTCTGTCTTCATCCCCATCCTCACCCTCACCCTTCTCCACATCCATAACATTCAAAACAGCAGAACACTACATGATGCATGCCAAAGCCCTCCTCTTCGCCGACCCCTCCGTCGCCTTATCCATCCTCAAAGCAGACCACCCGCGCAAAGTCAAAGCCCTCGGCCGCAAAGTGCACGACTTTAACGAAGCGCAATGGAACGAGAACAGAGAGCGCATCGTCCGCGAGGGCAACCTCCTGAAATTCCGCTCTGCGCCAGAGTTACGGAAACAGTTGCTGGCGACGGGGGACCGGGAGCTAGTGGAGGCGAGTCCGATGGATCGGATCTGGGGGATCGGGTTCGCGCCGGACAAGGCAGCCATGGCGGATCGGGGACGGTGGGGGTTGAATTTGCTGGGTAAGATTCTGATGGAGGTTAGGACGGTGTTGAGAGAGGAAGAAGAGATGGAGGCGGAGAGGAAGGGGAGGAAGAGGGAGGTTGCTGAGGCAAAGGCGAAAAGGAGGCGGAGTTCTGAGGAGGGTGAAGAGAGTCAAGTTGTAGACGAAGGGACTGCTAAGAAGTCAAGACGGAGAGAGGAAGAAGTTGAACATGCCACGACGGTGAATGACACGGCGAAAGAGAAGGCCCGAGGGGAACAATGATGGGGTGAGAACATTTTCCAGTTCTCGTTTGGTATTACATCGCGAAGTATGGGTAATCGCCTCGTCTACATGAAAGACACATTTTTTCCTTCTACACGTACACATACAGCCTTCAAGAGCGGTGTTGGTTTTTTGCCTTTCCTCCCCCTTTGGCCACACTAAACATCGTGGCAACGTCGCGCCCAATGTTCGCCAGTCCCATGTGCCCCCCCCAGTTTCTATTTTGTACAAGTAGTAAAACACTTTTTTGTCGGCTGAAGATTTTTTGCGAGAAGGGGCTTTTTTGTAGGTTGTTATTCATCATCCAAACATCTTCGTCGCTTTTGAGAAATACACCCCTTTAAAAGTCGGGAGTAGGGGGTTATAATAGTGGTGTTGAGTGTTGGTGTTGGTGGTGGTTGTGGTTTAGTAGTAGTCCTTTCCGCTCTTCTGCATCTCAATAAGACGCCATCCTCTCGTCTCTGGGTTGCTGACGTCCTCTGGTACACGGGTGATACCGATGGCGTACGTCACCAGCTGCACCTTATCCTCCATGCCGGCGGCGAGCTCGCCAGACTTTGCGTTGCGGTAGACGTGCACCTCCTGTGTCCTGCAGGTGATGACGAAGACGGGGATTTCACCAGGGTCCAGCATGCGTGCGCGGACAATGTCGACGTGGCGGATATCGAGGATCTTGCCGTCCGACTTGAGGCCGGCGGTGAGGTACTGCTTCGTCAGGGCCTCGTACACGGAGTACTGCGCCTCGGAAAGCCAGAGCTTGAGCGTCTCAATGTCACCCTTGACGTAGGCGTCGAGGACCTCGGGCAGAATGTATTCGCGGAGCTCCTTCAAGAAGGGCTCCGTTCGGAAGCTGGGGTCCATTGTGCGGAACTTCTTAATGACCTGGGCCGTCTCGTTCTCGGCGAACCATCCTCCAATCTTGTCCGTGACGAGTCGCGCGGTCTCGATGAGGGGGTTTTCGGATTCGCGGTAGACCTTGCCGGCGCTGAAGAATCCCTGGGCGAACTTGTTCGAGTCCTTGAACTCGTTCCATGCCTCCTTCCAGGCAGCGTCCTTGTGGATCGTGACGTTGGTGCCGGCGCTTCATCAGTCAGTAAAGAGCCGTAAATCTGTGTTCTCCAAAACTTACTTGGGGTCTTCCTCAAAGATCTCGGGCTTTCCGTGCTTGAGGGCCTCAGCCTCGCGCTTCTTCCTACGCTCCTCCTTCTCAACCCAGCCACCGTAGCGCGAGCTGCTACCGTCATCGATAACATCCTTGACGTTCTTGTAGGCCTCGGTCTCGCGGATGGGTTTGGTTGCCTTGTCGAGCGCGTCTCCCGTCACGTTGGCGACCTTGCGGACGCCCTTCATGGCGGTGGTATCCCAGGTCCAGGCGGCACCCTTTCCGATGGCTCCAGCAGTGGTCTTGACAGCGGACGTCGCAGCAGAGGAGATGGCGCCAGAGGACTTCTCGTAGGCCTCGCGGGCCTTGCGGACTCTTTCGCTCTCGGCAAAGTCTTGGATCTCGCCGGACAGCGCCTTTGTCGACTCGTTCCACTCCTTGGACTTGCCAAACTCGGCTGTGAGCGTCTCTCTGAAGACCTCCCACGGCGTCTTGTCACCGTGGGGCGGAGGAGGCGGCATGTCCTCCTTCTTCTCCTTTTGCTTCTCCTCGCCTTCCTTACCCTCCTCTCCCGCGGCCTTCTCGCCCTCTTTCTTCTCGGATGACTCTTCCTTGCCCTCAGACTCGGCGTCCTTGGCCTTGGCTTCCTCGGTGGGCTTCGCAGTATCCTCGGCGGGCTTTGCACCGTCCTCGGGTGCCTTGGGCTTCTCGGGCTGCTGCTGCTGCTGAAGCTGTCTGGCTGTCAGGTGGAAAGACCTGGATTGCATCGAGCTCGAGATGCTGCGGACATCTTCAGGGAGGAACTGTGATCGCAATGAGGTGGGTCGTGCAAAGGTTTGTCGTGATGAGGCCAGCGCAGCGTTGCCACTGATATCTGTGGAAAGTAACCGGCTGAAGGCGGGTGTCCTGCTGTGGTTTTGGACCGTCGCCCGCGCGGAAGCTCTCACGAGCGCATTCTGAGGATTTCTCCTCGCCGACTGCACGAGAGAGTTCATACTGTGTATGTGTGTAGTATAATCCAAACCAACCGCCTCTCGACGATAAACGCAAAAGAGGATATCAGGGGAAAGAGAGGGAGGAGAGGGGCGGAAAGGGGATGCGGATGACGATTGGGGGCGAGTAAAGTTGCAAAGAAATTTTGGCTCGCGACAGGTTCCGACGGGGGTTTCCAGAAGCTCTGGGCTCTGCTGGGCGAGCGATCTCGGTTGACAGCGGAGCGCGGAAAAAATCTGGGCCCCTGTTCAACCGAAGACAACCCGGCGCGCCACTCGGGAGCCAATCAGACAGCGGCAATGTCTCCAGACGTTGAACGGGAGCTTTGCCAAATTTCTGAAATCTTCATTGCAGCTGGGCCATCATCGTCACGAACAGGCTGCCCTCTCTCCCCTCATTGCGACAGGAAGCCTGACACAACTCCCGCGATGAGCTCCGCACCGACGACTCGCCTCTTGGCGAGATCCATATTCCAGACTGCCGCCCGTCCATCCCCGATAGCACGATGCTCCCCGGCCCTTCTCCGACCCTTCTCCCAGACCCCGACTCAGCGCGCCGACGATGCGAAGAAAGGAGGCCAGGAGCTTCTCGCCGCCATGTATGGCTCCCGCTCCACAAACTCAACAACGGCCTCGACGCCGGGCACTAGCTCGCCCAGCCACAACCAGACAATGCTTCTCCAAACCCTGAACAAGGCTGCCGGCAAGTCGCTAGATGGCGGCCTCGCCTCAAGCGGCTCAGGCCTCGATGACCTCGTCCCCGAACAGGAGGATCTCTTGGAGCCGTACCACATGCACATCTACTCCCATAAGCACAACACGCACGTGACGGTCACGAAGCCCGACCGTGGCGCCATCATCTCCCTGTCGACCGGCAACATCGGCTTCAAGAAGTCCAAGAGGAAAGGATACGACGCCGCGTACCAATTGACGGCATACGTTCTCGAGAGGTTGAACTACGCGGGATGGCACAAGAAGATCAACAAGCTGGAGATTGTGCTCAGAGGATTCGGTGTCGGACGTGACGCGGCAGTCAAGGTTCTCATGGCCCCCGAGGGTAAGCTTTGGAGAAGCAAGGTCATTCGGGTGGCGGATTCGACGAGATTGAAGTTTGGTGGAACGAGGAGCAAGAACCCGAGACGTGTCTAGAGAGGGGGTACGCTGTCTGGGGTTCGCGGGGGAAGAGCAACACAACAACGCCTGTACAATACATGTACAACTGTATCATATCACAAAAGCAAAATTTCCTTGCATTCTGATGGTTTCATATCGAATTGCAGATGTCCAATCCCGCTGGTATCAAGTGCTGTACGCCAACTAAACCCAAACGCCAGACCTTTGTAACGCCAAATGTGCCGTATACCTAGTTGTTGTAGAGCATCGACGACGACCTCTACTTTCGAACCGGAGCCCTCTCGGCAGCAGGTAGATCGCGACCCGCAGTATCCCGTACGGCCTTCTTGCCCTTGCCGTTACCGCCGCGGCGTCGTTCCTCCTCGCTATCCCAATCAGCGTCCTCCGCTTGACCCTTGGAGTTCTCGGTGAGGAATCTCGGCGGCGATTGCTTCAGCATCCTAGAGCCTTCGTGAGCACGATCGCCGTCGTCCTCCTCTTCCAGAAGTGCGCCGTCGGCGGTATCGTACTCGGGTGGGTCGATCCAGTCCCTAGGGACAACGCAGGGTAATGCGACGCCGATGCTTGCCGCACGGTTCAGCCAGCCGGGACCGGGACGGCCGGTAAGCTTTCTGCAGAGATAGGAAGTGAAGTGGTTGCAATTTTTCGTCAAGAGGTTGTAGGAGGTTCCGAGGAAGTCTCTCGAGGCTTCTTCCAGAATCGCGTCGATCTCAGCCTGGGTTGCAAAGGTAAAGCCGTGGAGGATTTCGGACTTGAAAGTGCCGCCGGGGGGCTCCGTCTTGGGCTTTGTCCAGTATACTCCCGTCACACCTCGTCGCTCGTGCCCGCCGTAGGCATACTCTCTGCCATTGATCACGACACCCGAGTGCAGTAGTGAAGCGCCAAATGTCCAAAGAACAGAGGATAAGCGTCCTGGCTGCAGTCACTTTGTTAGCTGGGCTGGCGGTGACGGAACCAAGCTGTCGGTTCGGTGGGTCCAAGCAACTTACAGGTAGCAGATCATAGACATGGATTGTGACCTCAGTTTTGGATAATGACAATGTCGACCTATGCGACGCGGTAGACTGCCTGGGATTGCTCGATCGTGGAGGCATTTTTTTTGCAAATTTGTCGGGTGAGATGTTTTTGTAGGTTGCGGGTGCTGCTGCCTTTTTTTGGGGTATTCCAGGTTACGTCGTGAGAGCCCCGGCAGCTGCAAGTCGGGTGAGAGGGGCGGCGTTGTTGGAGAAGATGAGACGAGGCACGAAACGGGGAAGAGGGCCAGTCTGGGGAATAAATGCGCTGAAGGAATACTTTCTAGGACACAAGATATGGAGGATGTTTCAGTGAATTAAAGACGCAAAGACAATGGATTAGGCTGGCTGCAGAATGAACAGAAACGTTTGACGGAACTCGCGACGAGAAGGAGACGGAAGCAAACGCAATGCACCCGGCAAAGAACCTCAAGGCAGGTCTCGTAGCTTAGGTTCATTGGGCTTGGCTCGGCGCAGAGAAAGCGGGCGTCAGCAGAAAGGCAAAAGAGGATGCCCAGGTGAGGTGCCCAGGTGAGGTGCCCAGGTGCTGCATTAAACGACCTCAAGGGGCCTGGAGGTTGCTGGTTGAGCTTCAAGGTAAGGTCAGGTACATGGGCAGCCAGAGTTGTGCCATAGAATTTGAGTGGTGTTCTGCAGGATGCACAAGTACTCTTCACTGCATGCGGGTTGAGCCAATTGCGATCCAATGAGATGCAAGGAATGAGGTCAGAGGTGGCTCCCAGCCCCGCGCTTTCCTCCAGCTTCCTTCGGGCTTCGAGCTTCCCAGCTTGGTTGCGTGGTGTGCGTACCTAAGGTAGTTGCTGGGATGGTTCCTGCCTTGCGTGCTTGCTTCACTGTTCAGTGGTGCTGTCAGCGCCTTCCAGATTCAGGTCGACCTGAGGTACTTCCCTTCCGGCGTTTCTGTTCCGCCGTCGCGCCGCCACCACCTTCAGGTACCTGGGCCCCGTTTTTGGTGGGGCACATTAAAATTCATCTAACAAGGCCGGCCACAACACCTCCGTCGCGAAAGCTTTTTCTTCTCGATCAAACAATCTGCGAGGTTTCTCTTCCTCTTTCTACTCTCTTCTCTCTCTACCGCTCTGCTCTCTGAGTCGTCGGGCAAATCCGCGTGATTGAGGGCTGGTCACACAGCCAAGAGTCGCCAAAACGACGTCCTTCATCCTCCTCCCTTCTTCCTTCACTTCTAAATCTCCCTCTTTGCTACCCCGCGCAGCTAGCTCTGCCTTTCGCCAAGCTCAAGTGCTTCACTGCACTCTACTCTACACCACCACACGTCACTACGCAAAATCAAGACGCACAATGCCTCCCAAGAAGCAAGTCGTCGAGGAGAAGATCCTCCTGGGCAGGCCCGGTAACAACCTGAAGAGTGGAATTGTGGGTGCTGCGCCTTGAGCCTTCGCTTTCGCCTTGGCCTTAGAACCTGTCCGGGATCAGGCTGACCCCCCTTCTCTTCTCTTCAGGTTGGCCTTGCAAACGTTGGAAAGTCCACCCTCTTCCAGGCCATTACCAAGTGCAACCTGGGAAACCCGGCCAACTTCCCCTACGCCACCATCGACCCTGAGGAGGCACGTGTCATCGTCCCCGACGAGCGCTATGATTGGCTTTGCGAAAAGTACAACCCCAAGTCGCGCGTGCCTGCCAACCTCACGGTGTACGATATCGCTGGTCTGACGAGAGGTGCCTCCACTGGTGCCGGTCTCGGTAACGCCTTCTTGTCGCACATTCGCGCCGTCGATGCCATCTTCCAGGTCGTTCGTTGCTTCGACGATGCCGAGATTATCCACGTCGAGGGTGACGTTAACCCTACCCGTGATCTCGACATCATCAGCGACGAGCTGCGGTTGAAGGATATCGAGTTCACCGAGAAGGCCCTCGAGAACCAGAAGAAGAAGACTCGCTCTGGCGGCAAGGGTCTCGAGCATAAGAAGGCCATGGAGGAGCAGGCTACCATTGAGAAGATTCTCCAGCACTTGAAGGACGGCAATGAAGTCCGCAAGGGTACCTGGGGCCCCAAGGAGGTAAGACTGACAACCGCATTTCTTTTCCTCATCTCACGCCTCTCGTCACATGATGACAAAGGATCTAAGATCCGAACCATAAACCCAGCTCTTCGAATGCTACGGCATATTGAGACAAAAAACCCATTCTGATTTGACACAACTCCCTCATACAATTTCATCGCAAAACATTTATGAGAAGGAACTGTTTCTGACAAGAACAACAGATCGAGGTCATCAACCCCTTGTTCCTCCTTACCGCCAAGCCCGTCGTCTACCTGGTGAACCTGTCGGAGAAGGACTTCATTCGCAAGAAGAACAAGTACCTTCCCAAGGTTGCCGAGTGGGTTAAGGAGCACGCTCAAGGCGACCCCATCATCCCCATCTCCGTCTCTTTCGAGGAGCGTCTGACCCGCTACGAGACTGAGGCCGAGTCCAAGGAGGAGCAGAAGAACGTTGGTGCCGAGTCCGCCCTGCCCAAGATCGTTCTTCAGATGCGCAAGGTCCTCAACCTTGGCAGCTTCTTCACCACCGGCACGGACGAAGTTCGCCAGTGGACTCTCCGCAACGGCACCAAGGCACCCCAGGCCGCCGGTGTCATTCACACCGACTTTGAAAAGACCTTTATTCAAGTCCTCGTCTACAACTTCACCACACTCAAGGAGCTCGGCACTGAAGCCGAGGTCAAGGCCAAGGGCAAGGTTATGACGAAGGGCAAGGACTACGTTGTGGAAGATGGAGACATCTTGCTCATCAAGGCCGGTGCTGCCAAGGGTTAGAGAACGAATATCTGATGGAAACTTGAGATATTGGGAATGGTCAAAAGCTCTGCCTTTTCGGTTTAGATATCACAACCGGCTAATAGAAGTCCTTTGCCACCACGATTTGCTACAATGTGAGATGTGTGAGAACATTGCACTACGGTGAAATACTGGGATGAAAAATGTCGTGCATGTGAAGTACTTCAGTAGCGAAAGTCCCAGGTGCTTGTTCCTGATGTAGTTGCCTGTGCCCCTTTATCGCATAAATGGGGGTTTCCCTGCCCAGCTTCTCATCGACCGCTGCACAGACCAACTGGCCGATACTTGCTGAGCTTCACCCAGGTCCATATTGCTGCCGTATGTTCACTTTCAACACCACCTTTGAGATCCCCTCAACCGTTCAATACGATGTCCCAACCTCCGATAAACCGCGGACATGGACGAAACATATCAGTGACGAGGCGTAAGTGCTTATCATTCACCAGCAAACCTCCTCTAATCTCAGAGCCCGCTTTCTTCTCACTCTCGGTCTATCTCATCACCCTGGTCTTGGTAGAAGCTATGGCGCTCATGAATAAGACTGAGAATGAGGGGACCAAGTATCACCGAATGTTCACTAATCTTTCTCGTACAGCGGTGCGTCCACGTTCTTCGACTAAGGGTCCGCTCGACCTGGACGAGTGAGTTTCACTCAACGTCTTGTCTTGGAATACTTGCCTTTTCTAACAGACTCTCAAGCACCCCTCTGAATGACCCATTGTCGCCAAAAGCCGCCGCCACAGAAGACACGACGCAGCAACGCCCGATATCAGGACAACGCTCACCAGCGCTACCTCACTCCCCCGCAGCACCGCCCGTGAAGACGACCGTCACCAAGGACTTTGGCTTCCTCCTGCGGCCTGAGATCTACCACACCATCCAACCGGTCAACGTCCCGGTCGCGTTCAGGAACTCTTCCAAACAGCCGCCAACCGATGCTCCGCTCGAAGACCTGCTGGCAAAGGGTCACTTCCGCGCCGCCGCCATCGCCGCGGTCCAGGAGCTGACGGCTACAGGTAGTCCGGACCGGCCACGGGTCGCGCCTTCGGACCATCAGAGGATCTTTAGCCTGCTGTACACGCGCCTAGCATGCCTGACGCTCATCGACGCGACGGCGGTGGCAGCGCAGGAGGTGAGGGCGCTGGAAGATTTGAATGCGGGCGTCTACATTGACGAGACCACGGGCGAGCACTTGGTGCCCTGGGAGCTGCGCGTACTCAACGTGCGGCTACAGGCCCTCGGGTTCAGCGACCCGCGCAGGTCCGTCATGAGCTACCACGACCTGGCGCGGGAGGCGCGCGAGCAGATCAGCAAGGCGACGGCGCGGCACGATAACTCGGCAAGGGAGCTCTGGAAGGCGCGGCTGCAGGATCTGGGCGTTGCTGTCGCGGGCGCGCTGGTGGAGATGGATGACCCGGCCGGCGCTGCGCATCACTTGGCTACGCTCAAGGACCGCGGGGACGGCAAGATGGTGCTGTCGAGGGCTCTGCTGTGGCTTCACTTGGGGGATGCGGACGCGGCGCGGCGGTGCGTCGTGCGAGGGGAGGGTTCTGGGGAGGATGGGAAACATGCTGAGACGGTTGTGGGCGCGCTTTGTCAGATGGCTGATGGGGAGTACGAGGCGGCGCTTGCGACCTGGAGAGGACTGAGGGAGGAAGTTGCAGATGAGATGGTTGGTGTCAATATGGCGGTGTGTCTTCTTTACACTGGCAAGTTGACAGAGGTGAGTTTTCTTTTGTTTCTTCTCAAGTCTTTTCTCTCGTTCTCGTGTTGTTACTTGTGGTCTCATTTCATGACAACTCAAGCATGACAAAGACGGCTGACAACTAGGCATACATCAGGCACGAGCCATTTTCGAGGATATGGTCGGATCCGGCTACTCATCGCACACTCTCCTCTTCAACCTCAGCACAACGTACGAACTCTGCACGGAGCGGAATCGGAACCTCAAGGTGAAGCTTGTTGATAAGGTGGCCGATCTAGAAGAGACTCCAAGGGGCTGGGAAAAGAACAATGCAGATTTTAAGCTGTAAAATGCACACAAAAAATAAAAGCAGAAGTCATGACGATCCTCCGAGCCAACGAGCCTATGGAGCACAGGATTAGGATTGTTCATGTATTACTGTGCAGCCTCATTCCCGTCCTTGTGGTCCCCCGAAAACGGACTTGCCCAATTGGAGCCATCCTAGCTGATTCTACCCCTGTCCGTTCAATGAACCAAGTCTCCGCACTGGCATGCACAGTCGGGGACCGGACTTGCTTACAACGCTTACCAAGATGCTTACCTACGAGACTTGCATGCTTTTGCAGACTGACAAACCGCACAGTAAACACCAGACGAAGTGCAGGTCGGCCGCTGGCCGCTGGCTGCTGGGGGAGCCAAGACTTTTTGAGGCGGGGGGGGTTGATGCGAATACGGTTCTTATTGTGTTTAGATGTTCAGATGGTGAGGTGATGTAAAAAGGATGGACTTCCCGCGGTTTCCGGCGCCTGGCGGTGAGTTTTTGAGGCTGGAAACTTGTAATGTTCTTATCAGAGACGTCGCCGGTGGAAGATCTCACGAGCCACGCAAACCTTCTCATATTGATTATCCGTGAAGTCAACAGCTGAAGAGGTGTATATCCGACTCACACTAGGAGTCACATCCCAATCTATCAGTTCATTTCAAACAAAAGTATGGAATCAGAGACTTTTCAGAAGCAAACCCTTCACCTCCTCGAGAGAATCGCACAATCTCAAACAGCCCTGGAAAAGCGCCTCGCCGCAATGGAGACAATGCTCTCCCACCACGACACGCAGCCGCCACAACATCCAACCTTTCCACAATTCTGCCAGCTGCCTCCCGAACTGCGTCTCCGAGTCTGGTCCCTCGTTGCGATCCCCTCGCGGGTCCTCCGTGTAGACGCACGGGGCAAAAAGAAGACAAAGTCGAACAAGTCTCCATCGTCACCGCCGCTATTACGCCCGCCCGCCATCGCCGGAGCATGTCGCGAGTCGCGAGCTGTAGCGATGAAGCACGGCGCGCTGGCGAGGCTCACGTTTGAAGGCAGTGAGACGGGCAAAGGGGGCAGGACGCGGTGTTATTGGTTTGATGGGGACCGCGATGTGTTGGAGCTGGACAGCTGGGTTGACATCGAGGGAGACGAGCCACGGGGGATTAGGGATCTCGTGCAGAGGGCGCGGCATGTTCTCGTGGGTCGCGCTGAGGCGGAGTGGTATGCCCGTCTTTTTGAACGCGCGGCGCTGGTGAAGCGCGTGAGTTTGAAGTTTGATTCGTTGGGTGTGCGGTGTAGCACGCATGGCCGGGACGCCGTGAGGCGTATGTTTGGCGGCGGTCACGTCTACGGCGGAAACAGTGACTGTGGGACTACGATCGTCGTCACGGACTTGGAGGATGCGGATGAGATTGCGCGTGTGAAGAGCGTGCTGGGCTCTCGGTGGCGGAATCCGGTGTTTTTGGAGTTTGATCTGGAGCTCTGGGCGAGAAGCGGGACGGAGAGAGTTGGACGGGCTGTGAGAAATGACAAGTGGATGAGGAGGTTGAATGGGACGTGGGCGAGTGAGGTTGCGAGGGGGTGGGTTATGGCTCGGGCTGCTGCGGCAGGTATACCAGCGAATGACGGCGGTATAAGGGAGGAGATCTATCGAGAGAAGGATGGATTGAGAGTCACGAGTGACGTAGGAGACTCAGAGATGAAGTTACGGGGTGCGAAGGCGACGGCGTTGGATGTGGAGGATGGGCTCGTGAGGGAGGCACTTTTGAGTATGCCCGAGGTCAGGTTCGTGAGAGCATATTGTCTTGAAGAAGATTATGGTGCTTGCCATTCATAGCGAAGTGGCCTTTACCATCTTTCACTTTATATATGCCGAGACCTTGCAACTTCAGGCTCCACGCCAACTTCAGTCTCGTCTCCGTCCCGTCAAGCCCACTCGGCCATCAGTCTTCCCGCTCCAGACGGCTTTCTAGAGCTACATATGCATCCTTACCTTGGAGTTCTACCTTTCTAATATTATAGACGGAATAAAGGAGCAAAGGCTTCAAGTCAAGGCTTCTGTCAAGAGAACGAGCATCTCCACGAGGCGCTGCTCGTCTAACCGTTGCTCGACAGAGGCATTACACCGTGGGCAAGCCAGTACTGTTCAGACCGTAAATCAGGCTCCATTCCTCTGACCTCCAGAATTCGAAATGGTCTGGGTTGCTACGGTCACCATTCATCCTTAGCGCGAGTACCTCCCAGACATAGGTTCCAGTCGGCACAAATGTCCTGTTGTTCTCTGAGCCACCCCAGAACCAAGCTGCAGTCATTGGCTCCGCGTCTGTTCCGACGGTGTTGTTGTGGAATGGTGCTTCGCCAGTCTTGGTGTTCACCATAGAGTAAGTGACTAGCCTGCTCCTCACAACTTGCTGGAAGGCGAAGCCGGGATATATGCCGTCAGGATAGGTGATGGGGTTCTCGTCGATGCCAATACTGGCGTTACATATGGCGTTGAATATCCTTCCGGGCTCAACATTGATGAATGCGAAATCCGGCAGCCTGACTCCAATCAATTTAGTCTGAGTCCGATCAATGATGGGTAAGTTCAGCAGCGATCCTCCATAACCAGTATAAGGCACAGTCAGAAGATTCGCCTCCGAAGCTGATGATTGGACTGCGATGTAACCGCCGAAAAATGATAGCCGACTTGCTGCATCGGCCAAGTCGGGTTCGGAGAGGATCGTTACTGCCACGGAAGCAGACCCGCCGCCCTTCAGAGTCAGAGTTTTGGGAGAAATCGATACGCTAGCGTAGGCATCGCTGATACTTGGCAATGAGAAGGTGTAGGGGGCCGCAGGATCGATCACGTAACCTGAACCCGCTGGTACATGATCCAGTTGATAAGTGAGCTCCTCGACACCAGTGTTTGTGAATGTGAAACTTAGGTACGGCGGTCTGTTATCGGTGTCGTTGAAAGCAAGCTCCGTCACGTTGACAGTCGTGGCGCTCCGTACAGCAGACCAGGCATCGACCCTTCCACCTCCTTGCTGCTGGACCGGGGCCTTGATATCATGAACTTTGAAGTTCGGAATACCGTCGTTGTAATTGACAGGATGTGCCGTGGCCACGATAGCATTGCGAATCTGGCGCGGCGACCACTCGCGATGAGCAGACTTTACTAGGGCCGCAACGCCGCCCAGGTACGGGGTTGAGAAGCTGGTTCCGGCCCATACGCCGAGGCCGCCGAGGCGTGCAGGGAACGGCATGGCGACGTACTGCGATGGTCCAAGAACGGCCACGCCCATGTAAGTATCCAAGGCCGGACCCCATGTTGTCCAGGATGACGGCGTGAGACCCGTCTGGTTGTTGGGGATGAAGCTGAGGTTCATGTTGGCTGACGATGGATCGCCGGTCAGGGAGAGATCAACGCGGCCATGTTTTGCGAGCAGCGATACGAGTTTTGCGGCTTCATCGAAACCGATGTTGACTGTTGCACGTACGGAAGGGCTCAGATTCGTGCTACCCATGCGGGGGATGCTGAGTGCGTGAACGGCGTAGTTGGGAGCGTAACCCATGATATAGGGTATTCCGTACTTGGTGGTGATATCCACTGACGTATCGTCTGCGTCGCTCCAGCATTCGTATCTAGACTGGAGAAGTATCGTGGTTTTCGGATCTGAGGGCAGTTTCGCGCCGGCTGGAAGAGGGCGGCAAGAAGACACAATATCTTGGGGTCCCTCCAGAGCTGCAGGATCGACAGCGCCAGGCCACCACAATGTCAAGTTGATCTGGGCGGGCAGGTCAAACATTTGCGTATCGGTAGGATCACTCGGGTGGTAGTACACTGGACCAGTCTCACCGCCTGCTGTCCAGTTTCCTTGCCATGTGTAGACCGGGACGAGGGAAGTGTCGTAGGTACCGATAGCCATGCCGCCGCGACTAGCCGTGGGTGCTCTGATCGAATACAACCCCGGACCGGTGTTGCCGGCAACGGTAGTTGCGAGAGTACCGTTGTCGAACATACGCTCTATCAACGCGGGCCAAGGGGCTAACCCTATAGTTAGCAAGTGAACGTGGTCAATCCGCAGGCGGATGGATACACAACAGTTGCCGAACAACACAGAAAAAGCACCCCTTACCTTCAGGATATTCCAACTCGTAGCTATAAGGAATGGAAATGATGTCCAAATGTCGCTCGTACATATGAAGGAAGTCATTCACCTGGTCGTCCCCGTCAATGGGGTTGACGCAGTCAGAGTTGGCGATCGCTTCAAAGGTGGCATCCGGTGCGACACCGGTATAGCCCCATAGCGGATCGCCTTTCCCGCCGGCGATGCCGAGATTCCCGGTGCCGTGCGGGTCACAGCTCCCGGCTGAATTATTGGCGCCGGTCCGCAAGTTGGTGGTGTATGCAATGTTCGTTTCGGTCAGGCCGGGCGCAGTCACGTCAATCGCGGCATCCATGATGGCAACGCGGACGTTTGCGCCAGTTACATTCTCGTCGTGTAAGCGCAAAACGCCAGTGTCCTCATGCGAAGCCCGGAGAAGCGCGGCCTTGGAGGCGATCCTGGTGCTGTCGACATTGGCTTGCACAGCGCTTCTGCGGCCAAGTTCGTTGATTTCTGGATGCTTTGGCTCTCCGGGTGGGAGTTGCTGTTGCTTTGATGTTCTCTGGTTTTTGAACAAGCCCCCTTCGGAGGGAAGACGCCAAACATTTTGGGCATTAGTGACGATAGCGATTGTATCCAACGATGGTTGGTGGAGTTGAATCGCTCCTTCGCCGCATTTCAGCGAGAAAGAGGCTCCGTGAAGAATGTTTGAGTTGTACTCGCGAAACTTATTGACAGAGCAGGAGAATCCATATTCTACAAGTTCATCCTCGATGGTCAATGGCATACCTTCAGACTATTGCCGTATGTTAGCGCCTTCAGTCATGGAATGTCCCACAGACAAGGTACCGCACGCTCTCCGTGGTAACGCCATATTCAATGACATAGCTACTACGAGGTTTTCCACCTATAGATGATGGGACAAGTGCAGCGGTGAAGCCTGCAAAGATGAGTCCGAGATGTCGAATGTAGCGCATGATGCGCAAGCGAGTGGGTGAGAACTAAGGACTCCGACATTGACGACAGTCTACCATATACATATTTGATGAAGCTGCTTATTGAGATTATATATACTAAAGATGTTATAGGTGGGTTAAGGCTTTGCAAAGGTACTATACCCATCCGAACAGGCCGACATCAGATCACTAGGTCGAACTCTAGATAGATGACTATAATCAGGATTCTTGCTCTCCTTCTTAAAACAGTTTGGTATCTCGCGATCTTTTTAAAGAATCCGATACCGAACTTCGTGGGCCGATCTTCCCGGCTTACCTTTACACCCGCGCTTGCCACGCGTGCCGCGCTCCCGATAGGTGTAAACAGTTAAGTTACGCCATGAGAACATTCAACAATTCTTTCAAAACCCCTGCGACTCGGCTATTCACTCAGCATCGGTGCCGTGTACCGACCACACGACGAAGCTTGGTCGCCTTGTCAAGATCGTCGTCCCATCGTAAGCATTTTGCGGAGCATCCAGGAGTTGGCCAATGGAAATGGTATCATAGTGAGAATGATGGAAGATCAGCAAGAGCTGATGCATAGCAAACCGGAAGCCGCATTGCGCGGATGCTGTTGTCTTTGAGAGCGAAGGGATTTTCATTAGGACGAAATCGACTGTGCATTTTCCGGCCTAAATAGTTTTGGGTATTGAATTCTGTAGGATCCGACTTTGAGGAGAAATTACGGATCACGTGTGGACAATCCTGCTGTCAAGAATACAGCAGCCGAAACTGTCTTAGATCCATATCTTCATATTTCTACGGAGACTTCACCTTCAGCAGCTCCCAGTCGTCAAAGTTGCTCGCCTCTCGCAGGTCGTCCGTTTCCCGCTGCCCGTTGTCTTGCCGCCACAGACGGCTGCTCAAGTCATGCGTCATATAGGCGTGCTATGATACGGCGAATATTTACCGTTAAATTGATGATTTTGCTTAGTTAGCAAAACACTCATTATGAACCATACGTGATAGAACAGCACTGAGCAATTGGAAACGCCAAGGATACGAACATCTGGGTCGGCTACATACATCAACACCTAAAGCATCTGGAGGCCGAAGCCTTTAGCTCCCCCGATTTTCTCCAAACCTTTTTCCCGTACTCTTTGATGTTCCCCCAGAAGAAGCAGACAAGTGCTCTGAGGACAGAAACCATGGTAGACTCTTTGACGGCAATGACAGACTCTTCGATCTTCTCCCAGAAGAAGGCAACGAGCCCTATGACGACAGAAACCATGATAGATCCAAGGACTGAGGGTTGTCGGGTCAAAGGTCATCGGGTATCTTGCACGTACTAGAAGCTATGCACGATGAGTAAGACTTACATATTACAAAGAATGCCCAGTTAGGCGTCTGAAGGAAGGAAGAAACGTCCAGGGCGAATAGAGATGAAAGGAAAGATAAAGGAAGCTTGACGAGTTGGTCAGCGCACAAGCTACCAAGCAAATAAATTTTCTCAACACATGGAACTTACGAAGAGCAAGGTCGCAAAAGTGAAGACCATAAGGACCTTTGATTGCTCGCCTGCTAGCGTTGCTTGGCGGTTTGCAATTTCGTTTTGCTGTAACGAGATCGTTGTGTTGACCTTTTCACCGATTCACAATCAGCTGTTGCGCTGTCCTGCGGTCAATTGCATTAGAGCGCTAGACTTACCGCTGATTGTATTCTGTCGGCAACAACATCCAGCTCTTTAACGTTGTTCACAATATAGGCCGCGGAAAGATCGGTAGTCTTCTTCTGGCAGTTTCTCAATCTCATTTGCACAGTTTCCTGGTATTGTGCGACCGATTTGAGGATATTCAACTCGTCACGGACATCCTTGATGTCACCGTATAATTCCTCTGCCTGCTTGATTGTCCTCTCCATGCCACCAACTTGCTGCAAATCGCGCTGCTGGCTCCGCCGCCCATTCTGTCTCCGATTCTTGAATGAGTTATAAAGTGCCGTTTCATCCCTCCCCTAACATCTCATTAGCTACTTCAGATCAGCAGTATAGTGTGAGATGGGCTTGAGTCACAATTCGATTCATGTGGTTGGAGTAGATTTGACTGATAGACAGTTCGTCCCTAATCTCATCTTTCACAAGCTTCCGGTTCTCACCAACGTCAGTCGAAGGCTTTTGTGGTCGCCTTCCAAGATCCGGCCGCCTCTCAAATGAGCCTACACAGTAATCGATGATTAATTCGCTCATTTCACTTGCCGATCCTGGCTGAGATTTGCGGCCTCCATATTCAGCTTGTTTGCTGAGTTGGTCAAGGATTCCCTGTACCAGCTTACCGTCGCGCCTACTTAACAAGCAAGAATTCGCCGTTATGAGCCATTCTAATAGTCGGAGGTCTCAGTGAAAATATACAAAGCTAGCAAAAAGATTATTTCACTTACTGTCATTGATGATCCAAAGCCAAATTTGATTGACTCGCAGCATTGTCAACTCACTAGAGTGACTAAAGTTTCCAGGAAGCTTCTTTCTCTGCCCATTTCGCTCTCTCGCCTCTTCTTCTTCTTCCAAATACTTAGTCACAACCTGATTTCTGTTGCGATGGTTTCTATCATCAACTGATTCCTCGTCCTTTGCGAAGTGGTAAAACCACTCATCAAGTGTCGGCGATCCGTGGACGACCGACTGGGTGAAATCATCCCCGTAGGCTTCCAACAACCTCTCATAGTGCTTCCTGGCTCCATCGAGCTTCCCTGATTTCTCATGAACCGAAAAACAGAAGTAAGGCATCTGTGATCTTCTTTCAGTTTCAACTTCGTAACATGGGATTTGAATGGGATACTTACGTAAACTGCCGATGTGGTAACAAACTCATCTGGGCTGTCTCCGGCGCAACTCTGCTCTGTTTTCTCAGACTTGCATCTCTCACACTTTCCTTCATTGTTCTCTTCTCCTTTTTCTCCTTTCTGAATTTCTTCTTCCCCAATGGATATTCTCATTCCCTTGACTGCAGATACGGTCTGCTGAGGGTTTGTCTCATCAACTCGGCCCATTATCTTACCTGCCGTCTCTTTCGAATGCCTCAAAACGGCTCGCGGCCTCATGATCCTTGAATCAGATTTCTTATCCGGTACCTCAACCCAGCTGTCCTGAAAAAACGACTTGGCTTCATAGTATTGGCGAGGAGTGAATTCTTCATCCTTCGAAATCCTCGTCAGAAGGTCCTGGGATGTTTGTAAGTTTTGACTTTCTCTCAGACTCTCGCTGCATGCATTCGTCCATCATCCCTTCCCCCTTCCCTTACTCCGCTTACACATATACACTATTATACAAACCGAAGACGCATGAAAGGTAGTATAGGACTCACATTCATCCAACCCATCTAATTCACGTCAGTTTTTAGTCAATCGAGTGTATTTATAGCCGATACTCACATTCGTAGCAGGTAGATGGATCCATGTAAAGCTTGACTCAACCTTGCTCTTGTCTCCATCTAAATTGGAGACGGCTTCTTGCATCTTTGTTCCTGTTTGCATGATCTTGGCTGGACCAGCCTTGTAGATGACCTCGCGGATTGATCTCTTGACTTGAAGTGTTCCAGATACGCGATTCATCTCGTAGAATTGTACAATGTTCGCTTTGAATTCGTCCAGCAAGTCTAAGGATAAATCCTTGATTTTTGGACGTGGTAATCCGTAATTCATGGGCTCTTTATGAAGTCGTGCAAAGGGAGGGTCGCGGAGGATATCTTTGATAGTTTCCCACTGCATTGACTTGAGGGATTTCTGACTCGAACTCGCTGGGTCCTTTCTGACACTCGTCGTTCGTTTTTCCTTTTTTCTCTCTGGTTGCTATTTCCTTCTTGTTTCGACTTCTCATCGTTCAACTTTGCCTTGAATGATTCCCTGCGGTCCTCTGTCGCGATTTTTGAGTGGAGGTTTGGTTTTCCAGTGTCATCAAAGCTTCTTTCAAAGCCCTTCTTAGTTCATTGCTCTGACTAGAAGCAGCAATAAGCAGCCATAGCACCAGAGGAAGTTTGTCGATGGCTTCTTTGCCCCCTGACTCCTTCGCCAGCTCCGGGGCTGACTTCAGGACTGACTCCAAGGCCTTTTCGATTTCGCCAGTTTCCGAAGAGGTAGAAATCAGCAGTAGAAGCGCCTTTGGTAGCCTTCGGTGAGCTGCCCACCTGATTGCGCCCCAGTCCTCTGACCCAGATGGCGTTGAAGGAGTTCTGGTCTTGTGTCGTAAAATCAGCACTGCGATGTCGTGTAAATGAGGATCGCTTGCAGCCCAATTCAGAGCAGTGTTCCATCTGTCATCTTGGACGAAGTCGGAAATTTTGACCAAGTCCAATTTGAAAAAGGTTCTCATCGCGGTCGCCCGCCTCTGTCCATCGAGTTCAAAAATGGAAGACACTGCGGTCTCGTCTTTCTCATCCTGAACACGCAAATCTTTCTTGTTCATCTTTTTCAGGATGCACTCGAGGCTAGAAAGTTCTCCACATGACATGGCAAGATGCAGAGCCGTCTGACCCGTCGAGGTTCGGGCTTGAGGTCGGGCCCCTTTCTCGAGCAGAAGCTTTATCGTAGCCACGTACGGTTTAGTTTGAGGTAGAAGCTCCGCGTTCCGTTGAGCTTGCCCTTCTGAGTCATCATAGCCCGGTCGATTTAAGGCCGATATTTCTTGGACTCCGAGCAGACCATTGAGTGCAAGGTGAAGAGGTGTCTGACCGACCTCATCAGTTGCATCTGCAGCAGCTTTCCTCTCCAGAAGCCATCCAGCAATGGTTTCATTGCCCTTTCTACTCGCTAGATGCAAGGCGGTCTGTTTAGATTGGTCAATTACATCGGGATTTGTCACCGCCAGCAATTTGATCAAGCTTTCACAGCCTTGTTCGGTTGCAATGTGCAAAGGCGTCTGTCCATCGTTAGTACGAATCTTCACATTGGCCTTGGCGCCCAGCAACATGTTGACCATTTCAACACTCTCTTCAATCACTGCTGAATGTAAAGCAGTGAGTCCTTCGGAATCTCGCAGATCGACATCTGCACACCCATTGGGGTTGTCAGTATCAAGGATGAGCTTCACTACATCCTTGTAACCCCAGCTAGTAGCCAATATCAGAGGTGTTGATCGGGAACGCGTAGTCCGAACGTTACAATTTGCGCCAGCTTTGATCAAACACTCCACACCTTCCGGAAAGTTGAAAAGGCATGCCCATGAGAGAGGAGTAAGTCCTGAACTGCCGCAAATCTGCAGTTGAGACTTCATATCACCGCCAAACTCGGGTCGAGGCTCGAGAAGCTTTTTCATGACGTCTACTTTCTGGCACTCAGTGGCTGTCATCAAAGGCGTGAAACCTGCGCGATCCTGAGTTTCGAGCTCGGCACCAGCCCTGAGCAGCTGTTCAACGGCACCGACGAGGCCATTTTGAGCCGCAACGTGAATAGGCGTCTTGCCCGTGTCTTCATCTTTGGCGTTGACTTCCGATTTGTATCTTTCAATCAGGTCGCGGAGCGTATCGAGTTCGCCCACTGTTTCGGAGTGGGCATGGCGCGCCATTGTCAAAAGTTGCATCCTTAAGTGTGACTGTTGTTGATCAGTCGAATGTACCGGATTGCTCTTGGAGTCCGAGGCTTGGTCATCTTTTGGGTCGCTGGGTTGTAGCATGCCGGAAGACTCATCGATGGTTTGATGAATTACAATGTTGTCAGGCTCGGACATGATGGCGGTTGGTGTTGATCGAAATGTTCGAAAGTGTCGAGCTTGATACAAAAGTTTGGCAGATGAACAATCAATTCATTTCCAAAGAGGGAACTATAATATGGACTGAGGCTCAGAGGAAGGGGTGATACAAGAGGACTGTCGAGTCCTCGGGATTTTAAGAGCTCCAAAAGTATTCACACTTCTAGAGCAGGGCCTTCACACTTTCGCTGTCTTCTACTCATAGAATCAAGCATAGTTGCATGCAGAGGCTGTTGATGCTACAACCTAACTTCTATTTGAGGTTGACGTTACGCAGTAGGCAATATTAACTTATCACTGCAGTCATCATACATTCTTTGCATGACCATGTCAGTCCGGTTACAAAACGCCAATGCGAGAAAACAACTCTAGCGTTTGATCGACTGCTGTTGTCATACTGTCTATTGAACCCATGCAGGTAATATGGACCAATGAGCAGAAATGGCTAAGCGAGATATTGGCCCAGAACAGACTCATCTCTAATCGAGTATCATCGGAATGTTACTCGAGGTGGGCAAAGGCGGCAGCTTCGACACTAGCACTTGTTGGCAGAGATTATCAGCTGTGAGACATTTGCTCGCCTCACTTCGTTTTGGATCTGGTTCCGACCTTGGCCGCATTGTATCGTCCCCTGTCCGTATGCATGGAGCTCCTACGCCCGATGCAAACCCGCCCAGCTATGCCCTATTTCAGAAAGAGGTGCAGCTTGTCCGGTCTCGAATCGTTGAGCTGTCAACAAACCTCGTCTGGGAGCAACTCTCCAAACTCCCGCACCCTCGCGTTCGCCTCCCCATACGCCGTGATGTCCTCGCACACCATCTGCGGATGCAGACAAGCCAGGCAAATACCCCTCAGTATTCCGCTCGACTTGAATTGGCTCACGGTACACTTCATCAACGTCTTGTGGTGCCCCAGAGGCGGGCCCGACACGTGACATTGTCCGACGCGGTTCCATTCCAACACCTTTGACATCTTCTCATCAGCTAATCTCATCATCGAGCTGATGGACATGTACGGCGTGCCCCTCGATAGGATATCTATGTCTACGTTGCGGAGGACTGAAGATGTGGCTGTAGTCGTGACCCGGTTTGTGTTTTCGTGACGGCGGAGAAGCCGCTTCCACCAGGGAGCTGGCTTGCGGATGCTGCATTGGCAGTAGGGTATTGCGTGAATCTGCTTCATCATTCGCGTGTAGAGAGATAGACGGATTTCGTTGCGTTTCTGCTCCAGTGCAACTATTTGCCCTCCGTGTTAGCCGATTTCTCCTGAATGCCGTGTATTAGATAAGTACGCGGTGAATATAGGAGTAAAGAAGAGCTCACTAGCAATCCTCAGTGCGACGACTTCATCCTCTCCCGATTTCCCATCTGCCAGAAAGCCGAAACTCCACGCTATTTCGGTGATCAATCGCAGTGACGCCGCCTCGAAAGCCTTTTCGTACCTGAACCAGTACGCCGCCAGGAGGAGGTCTTTCTTCTCTGGGCGTACGACTCCAGACTGCGCGATGGTATCCATGATCTCAGGCGAGAGCCAGTACTCTGCTGCCGCCCTAAGGGCGAGAGTACAGTCGTACTTTGCTGCTAGGATGGCGACAACCAGAATCAACCTTGGCGGTATTTTTCCCATCTCTGCGTTCAGGCTATTGCCATGGAGTATGTGGCACATGATTTCCATCGCCTTGGGATCGTCGTCTGGGAGGGAAAGACGCGGGTGGTCTGACACCACGGCATTGTCGCTGTAGTTTTCTATTGATATCTTTGAGGCAAAGATGGAAGAGACATTGGTCAGGATAAGAGAATAGACGCGGACTTCATATCTAGATGGACCGACGACGAGGATGAGGTCGCCTGCTGGTGCCGGAGTTGCACTCGTCGATTCGAAGGCTGCTCCATCTTCAGTGGCCAAGGTGATGTCTGAACTCATCTCACTCCCACTTTTGCCTTTCAACTGCGGTGACGGGCGAGGCGCTGGAATGAAAGGAGACTTCAGTAGGAATATATCACGAGTTTGAGACTTTTGGCTTGAGCGAGGTTGCCTAGGACTTTTGAGTGAACAACAACGTGCCCCATACGAATGTGGCGGAGCTACGTTGCCGTGAATCCTTGTCATGAAGGAGCGCAGGACTCTTCGAAGGATCAGGAACCCAATATGAGAAATTGGCTGCATACATGGGTATTCCTAGGTACCAATTCGATTGATACCTGTGCCCATTTGTTTGCCTAAACCTATCCCAGAATAGACATGAAAGAGTCACGTCACCATTCGGCGACACCATGCGTATTGGCCGGATCGATTTCAAATCGTGAATGAATAGTTATACTTACGATGACTCTATAGTTTGGCGTTCAAATGAATAGTTTCAGTGCGTGTTAACGATCTCAAACGTTATCGTAACCCCCACAATGAGACTACCTTGTAGAAGGACTTGCTGGTGTTTGGAACTCCATCAATGTTGCCATCGAATTCGGGCGACTCACGGCTGAATAGACGACACCGATACTCATTGAAGACAAATATCTCCATAATCGCTTCGATTGATGTCATTTGATACGCCTCATAAATATTCCGTACAACCAGACGATGACCCGATAAATACAAAAGATTAGGCACATCACAAGATGTGATGATTTGAATGGTGAAGGTGAAGTGAGCAAATAGCAGTTGGCACTGTGTTTTTCATGGCGGAGACGCTAAGACCCAAGACTTTGGGCGGATGTCTCCGCCCCGGTCCTGCCGCAAGTCCCGCTGCAGAAATCGGCCCCGCATGAGGCACAGTGCGCCGGCTTCCGAGACTCGTACCTTTCTTAGGTTCACTTTCTTTTTTTCACTTCACGTCTCATTCCTCGTCAACGTCAACCACTTCAACTCACAGAAGAAACACCACACTCGTTTCGTCGTCATGGTGCGAACACGGCCCCGCAACAAGACCAAACGCGTCGCCATCATAGACTACGGCTCAGACGGCGAACCGCCAGAAGAGGCCCACGATGACCCAGAAGACGAAAATTTCGAGGCGCCGCCGCCAGACCCGGAAGACGATGATGAGGACGACCGAATGGACGTAGACGGGGGAGACGATGATTTCGAGGCAGAAGATCCATCCAACCTAGCCATTGATGACGGGTCACGCAGAAAAGGCAATGACAGTGACGAGGAGCGGCCCGCCTACACCAGCTCCGCTGGGATCAAGAAACGCCCGACGGACATGACTGCCCTCGACACCTACCACGCCGATGGCCGGCCCACGCGCTACTACACCGGCGAGCTGAAGCGCGGCCAGCGGATCCAGGTGCTGGACTTCTTTTACGGGCCCGAGGCGGAGGCTGTTGGCGTCGCGAGTTGGTTGCTGAATCGGTGGGCTGGGTATGCGGTGCTGCCGAGTAAGTTGCGCGATGGGCCTGCGCATCCGGTGCCGAGTCCGTGGCTCGGGGAAGGGTTCAATGAAGACCAGGAACGCGCTGCGAAGAGCTGGTTTGAGAGACTAAAAGGCACCAAGGGGGTGGCCGAAGCCGAGAGGGAGATGGGGTCAGTAGAGGCGGAGGGGTACCGATTGAACCCAGGCGGCCACTTGGTCACCGTGATCGGGCCGTATCAGGACCAGAAAGAAGTCGAGATTCCGCCTTACGATAGCGTCGTCCTTGGCGAGATGGGACAAGTCTTGATGAAGGACGCCGGCGACGAGCAGAAGTCTTCTGGGTGGATGTTTGATGTCGGCGGCATGGTTATCGGAATGGACTGGGCCCCGAGAACAGAGGGGGAATCGCAGATTCTCTCCCTCGCCGTGGTCCCGCCGACGGACCACCAAATGGGTCTCGAGGACGCTTACAATGAGAAGAAGGGTATCGTTCAGCTGTGGGAGCTTCGCGGGCAAATGGACAGCGACGGCGTCTCGAGACCTGCCGCACGCCCTGCACGCCTCGCCAGGACGCTTTGCGTCGACTGGGGCAGGGTGAAGAGGCTGAAGTGGTGCCCGGTACCCTTTAGGGAGGATGGCTCTTCGGGTCTACTTGCACTGCTTTGTGGCGATGGGCAGGTTCACGTCGTCTCGGTCAAGGAAATCGGCGACCGAGAAGAGGACGCATTCAGTAAGAACATATGCGCCTCTACCTCTTGTGTTCTTTACACTGACGGACTCTACAGCAAAACTCGAAAACTCAGTCGTGTCTCTCGGCGTCTCCTCAGAAACCAACGTGACAGCAAGCTGCTTCGCCTGGGTCAACACAAACCGCATCGTCTTAGGCCACTCTGACGGCTCCCTCACCCTCTGGTCCATCTCTCCACGCATCTGCCTCGCCCGTCATGACGTCCACTCAACCTACGTGATGCACCTCGACACAGCCTACCCCTCGGATCCATACCTCGTCGCCTCGACTCCGATCGCAGGCTACACCACCCTCGTCGACCTCTCCGACCCCTCGTGCGAGCGGACCAGCTTCCCCTGCTTCGCCATCACGCCCCAGCCGAACCTCATGCAATGGAGCGACCACCTACGCGGCTTCTTCACCGCCGTGCCGTCCGCGAACCCGCTCAACGCCTCTGTCGGGTTCGTCCACGCGCGGTGGTACGCCGCGCAGGTACGGAAAGTCATGGACGGTGACCGGCTACCGACGTGTCTTGCCGTCGGCGCGCAGCATCCGTTTGTGTTGGTGGGGTATACCGACGGAACGGTGTGGGCTGCGAACCCTTCAAATCGCATCTTTGCTTCGAAGCATCACTTTGGACACAAGATGAAGGTTCTCGACCACCAGCACATCCCGCGCGAGAGGCTTGACGAGGAGGCGCTGAATAGGCAGGAGGGCGGGAGCACAGCGGACCGATGCCGTGGCGCGTCGAGGATATTGCAGGGGTTCCGGCCGGTGCCGAATGTGAATCCCAAGGTGGACACGTGGAAGACCAAGGTTGCGATCAACAAGAAGAAGGACAAGAAGGGCAAGGCCAAGGGGAAGGCTAAAGGGAAGGCAAAGGGGAAGAAGGGTGCTGCGACGGCGGCGGCTGCGGATGCTGGAGAGGAGGAGGACGCTGATGTCCAGGGCGGTCAGGAGGAGGTTGATGGACACTTTGCTGATCCCGAGCGGGCCGTGATATCGGAACCATTAACGCGGATTACGACGATGGCGTGGAATCCGAACATGGAGTATTCGTGCTGGGCGGCGATTGCGATGGCGTCTGGCCTGGTGAGGGTCATTGATTTAGGGTTGGAATGCTAGAGAGAGAACCTGCCCAAAGAATATGGCAGCACAGGTGGAATAGGCAAAAGTGTGAATGATACCCTCTATTATCAACGTTCTATCGAGCAGAAAACATCATGTATCCGAGACTCATGAACCTCATTACACCATTTACCACCTATGAACCCCTCTCATCAGAAACACTTGCCCCCCGTAACAGTATGATGATAATCAAAAGCCTTAGCCATGCCATACAGATGCGTCACGGCGGCCATCACCACAAAAAAGTGAAAAATCTGGTGCGAGCTGCCCCAGATGTCAAAAGTCCGCGGGAACGAGCGCTCCGGCCAGCGGAAGGCATATAGAAACGCGCCAAAAATATACATGAGGCCGTGCAGGACGACCCAGCTGAGGCTCATGCGGTCCTCCATCTCCTGGCGACCGTAAATTGTCAGGCCGTGGAGGACGGGGACGACGCCCGAGGTGCCGAGGGCGGTGAACATGCAGGCGCGGAAGGTGCGCCATTCTGGGGCGCGGAAGAATTCGATCCAGGAGACTGCGCCGCAGCCTAGGCCTAGGAGGTTGATCTTGGGGAGGGTTGTGTTAGTGAGATTTGTGGTGTTTGGCGTGGTTCATATCATGAGAAATAAGTCAAGGGTGAGTGAGGGATGAGTGAGACATACCGTTGTGAGGTAAAACTTGAGCAACGCAGGATGGCAATAAAAGCCGTAATACATGGCCGGCACATAACTGCCCACAATAAGAAACACAATGCCCGAATAATCCAACTTATTCCCCCACTTGGCGACCTCGGGCGAATGGTTGCACATGGCGTGGTACGCGGCGCTCATCCCCAGACACGCGACGGCGCCGGCGAAAAAGCACCCAAAGACAATCATGTCGGCATCGCTCGCCGACTCGTAGCGCGGCGCGATGACGGCGTACAGAACCGCGCCCGTAATCACGAAGGCGACGGTGCCGAGGAGGTGGGACCAGATGTTGACGGACTCATTGTGCAGATACCCCAAAGAGCGGAAGGAGGCGCGGTAGGAATTGGAGTCGGGGCGGTAGCCCGTGATGATGAATTGATTGTCGCGGCGCCAGGCGGGCAGGTCGTCCCAGAGGACGAGGAGGGCCTTTTCGACTTTGCGTTCGAGGGCGGCGGCGGAGGATTCTACTGTTGAGAGGAGGCTTGTGGTGTCGTGGGAGGAGGAGCGCCGGCGGTTTCTGAGGCCGGCTGCGTCGTCGGCTGTTTCTGGGGCTGTCATCTTGGTAGTGTATGTCTTTGCTCTCTTCTGGTGTAGTTTTTGTCTATATGCGTCGCGAATCATGAGAGAAAAGGATGTCTATAATAGCATGTGGCGTGGTCCCTTCTTAAGCATTTGAAGGCCGTTGAGATATCACGGGCGCGCACGTTCAACGAAGGCACATAAGGTAAGGTGCTGCAGCTGCTGCGATGACGGATTGACGTCTAGCGCCGGGTGTGCGGCGGCGGGTCAGGCCAGGGGTAACTCCGTAAAAGGGAGGAGGGCCCTGATTTTGATTGGGATGGGAATTGTTGGGATTTCCTCTTTTTTTTTTTTTTTTCTTCCCTGCTGGCATCTGCATTTCCACATGCTTGAAGATTTCCTTAGCAGCAACAGCAGACACCACTAAATCATGTGTTTTTTTCTCTCGGTCCGCACCGAACGGATCCGAGGCCGTTGTCGTCACAAGTGTCGCCAGCTGGAGCCGGGCGAAGAATAGACTGAACGGTCGGCCCGTCGGTCAGACTGGACCATCCGCCGGGCAAGAGAGAGAGCGGGCATCAGGTGAGACATTTGGACGTTTGCCTTACATAAGGTAAATGTGCCTCAAGAGTTCAAGGTCAGCCAGCATTAGCATGTGCAGGACAGTCAGACGTGAGCATCGACTGTGAAACGGGCACTGGATGGAGAACAGAGGGCCGGTGGGTTCTGTGGAATTATGGATGCGAAGCAGAAGCATGTGCTGAGTGTGACTCTCGAGCGCAAATCTTTGCTATGAGTAGCAAAAGACGACAAACACCCGTGGGCGCATTTCCACTGTTTAAAAGCCCCCCGCCTGTTCCAGTTTTTGAGTGCTGCACTGCAACCGCAAAATGAAGACCCTGAGTCCGACTTTCGTGTCTCGAGTCAACACAATTGTAGTCTGACACTTTAAAAGACCTCAGAGCATGAATAACAACACTCAAGGCAGTCGGCATCATCCATGTCGATTTCCTCAAGGATCGAGAACTCTTTTGATATCATTTCATTGCATGCTCGTTGTAGGTATGTAAAAAGAAAAAAAGCGCTCCTTCGTGGCCCCGGGCTTTCGCGAATCGGGCACATCTCTCGTTGTGTGTGCGCGCGCGGTCGTCGATTCTGGTTATTTCGCAATCCCGCCCAACCAGCATTTGATTTATTTCTTGCCGCTCTTTTTGATGCCCTGGGTACCGGTGTTTAAAGGTCCCTTTCCACCGGCCTTGGCGGCCATCTCCTTGCGAGCCTTCTCCTCTATATTCGTGCATTAGTCTCCATGTGTAAGAAACTCCAAGACGGGAGAGGGGATGCAGTATCTGTCCCGTCAATCTATGTGTGAGACCTACCGGCGCGCTTCTTCTCGAGGAAAGCGAGGTCGTCCTCGTCCATGTCCTTCTGGGCCTTCTTCGCGGCCTTGAGAGGCTTGGCCTTGCCACCTGTTGTTGTGAAGAAAGCATTGTCAGTAACGCGTGGACTGAGTCGGAAAAGGCTGGGTTGTCCCATCCTGTGCGACGGCAGATTGCTTACCTTCACGGCTTGCACCACCCATTTTTGCAGAGGTTGTCGAGGGAGGAACTGGGTTGAAGATCGGCTTTGGGCGAGGAAGAGCGGTGGACAGTAAGGCGGAGAGGCAGAGTCTGGAGTCGCAAATGTTGCACAGTCGGAAAGTCAAAAGGAGAAGAGGAAGCGCGGCGCAGCGAGGCGGGCGGACGTGGGGTGAAAATTGCCCCTCCTCGACGAATCGGTCAAGGGTCCCCGGTTATAGCAATTTTTCTATGGTTAATTCCTTTCAGAGAGTAGTATGCAAGTATACGTAGTATGCAATAATATGCAGTGCGCAGCGGTGGAGCCGGGACATCCACGGAACATTCCAAGCTCGACGTCGGTATGGTCGGCTGGGTTCCGTGCCACCTTGATTTCTCCGGCGCGGCGCCAGTGTCTCGTCACCACCAAAATCACAACTCGTCGACCCTTGATCGCTGGAAAGCACCGAGTCGTCTCGACACAAACAACACTGCTCTTCCTTGGCATTGCATTACGACACTTGATCCTCCTTTCCCCTCCTCTTTGAATTGCCCTCTGGTTTTCTAGTGTCGTCTTACTTCCTTCTTTTCCCCCATGAGCTGAGTCGACACAGTCATCCGGTTCGCAAACAATTCCTGCCGCACATCAATCTTCTGGTGATCTCTGCTGACACGTCGCTGCTGCTTCTTGCGCGCAAAAAGACCTAGGGGATTCCCTCCTCTGGCGGATCACTGCTGCAAACCATACCTTACACAAGGAACGTGTTCGTCGTTGGCACACGTTCGAGACTTAGAGCTCAAGAGCACCGCACTTGCTATCGCATTGCAAACATGGCGTCGAGTTCCGACGAGGGCGAGATCATGGAAAATGACGCCGTGGATTTGAAGGCAACTTCACTGCCGAAGAAGTTTGAAGGAAACGGTGTTGACCGTCAAGACAGAACTCGAGATAGACGCTCGGCCTCCAACTCCCCTGAGTACGACAGTTCCGCCAGGCACAACCACCACCACCACCTTTCGAGACGCAGCCGTTCGCCCCCGCCGCCCCGCGGCTTTAAGCGCGCCCGTGACGAGCGTGACTACGCTGGTGGAGGACGACAGGATACCCGCCGCTTCCGCGTGCACTACGAAGACGGCGCGAGGGATGACTACCGCCGCTCACGCGTATCGTACGAAGACCTAGACCGCCCGCCGTCCCGCGGCTCGAACAACAGCTACGAAGGTCGTGAAAGGAATCGCAGTCGCGAGAGAGACGCATACAGAGACAGGGACAGGGAGCGCGATCGCGAGAGGGACCGATACCCGGATAAGAGACAGCGTAACCGTACCAGGTCGCCTTATCGGCCCCCGCGCGGTGAGCGAGGAGGTCGCGATGATCACTACGCCAGAGACGGCGGGCGCGATCGTCTCACCGATTCGTTCCGCAGCTTAAAATACGACGACAACAGGGACCGAAACGCCCGAAACGGAGGCGCGGCGCCGAACGGAGTCGCTGTAGGAATGGACTCGCGTGCTTCCAGAGAAGATGCTAAACCTGTGAAAGACTCTGCAGACCGTGAAAATTCTGCGGCTTCTCGCTCTCGGGGCCAGACGTCCGTCTCCCCTCCTCCCTCCAAGAGGACTCGGTTCCTGCTAACGCCCGACGATAGCGCTCCGCAGGTGGTAGAGCCTGATCATAGCTACGAGGAGCCCGAGGAGCCGACGATCATTGACGAGGAAGCCGAGATCGAACGCAGGCGACGACGCCGTGATGAGCTACTCGCAAAGTCTAGCTCAGCTACTCCACTGCTTATTCACGCGTTGCATGCGGCTGACAAGTCAGCGATTCCATCACCAGCCCGGGAAAGCACTCCAACAGCGGATATTGGGACCCCAGGCACAGGTAAGAATCTTGCCATCCAGAGTTTGACAAATGCTAAGTCTCCAGATATTGCGTCACCAGCCCGAGACGGAAGTTCGCCTGGCGCTATTGACATTGTGAATGAGAGCGACCTAATGAACACTCATAGCGGTGGCGACGCGACGGAGGAGGACGGCCCCTCAGCTGCAGATTACGATCCCACGGCCGACATGAAGGAAGACGAGAGGCGCGATGAGATGCGACACGGTAACGTGGGTGTTCATGGCGAAGCTCCTGACACAAAAAACGAGACGCAGCCACAGGATCAACCTCAGGAAGCCCCTGCGAAAAAGTCATCAGAAGACGACGACGATGATGACGATTTCGACATGTTTGCTGAAGACTTTGATGACGACAAGTACGCCGCACCCAACCCTGTCAAGGTGGCTGTGGTGGACGAGTCCAAGGCCTCACCCGCTCTTGCCCCGCCAAACGGAGCCATTCTCGAGGGCGACGACAAGGACGGTTACTACAAGCTTCGCATTGGCGAGATCCTCAACGGCCGTTATCAGGTCCAGTCGGCTTTGGGCAAGGGTATGTTTTCTGGCGTTGCGCGAGCTGTCGACATTACGAACAAGAAACTGGTCGCTGTCAAGATTATGAGAAACAATGATGCTCTGAGGAAAGGAGGTTTCACCGAGATTGCCATCCTGCAAAAGCTCAACGACGCCGACCCAGAGAATCGCAAGCACATTGTCAAGTTTGAACGGCATTTCGACCACAAGGGCCACCTGTGCATGGCGTTTGAGAATCTTAGTCTGAACCTTCGCGAAGTGCTCAAGAAGTTCGGCAACAATGTCGGGATCAACTTGGGCGCTACGCGAGCATACGCCCACCAAATCTTCATTGGCCTTGCTCACATGCGTAAATGCAGTGTCATCCACGCCGATCTGAAGCCTGACAACATCTTGGTAAGTACTGCCAACATTCGACTGTTGGACAAAGAACTTCACTAACCGATCGCAGGTCAACGAGAGCCGGAATGTGCTCAAAATCTGTGACTTGGGAACCGGCATCGACAAGTCCGATGCAGCCACGGCGCACAACGAGATCACCCCGTACCTGGTCAGTCGCTTTTACAGAGCACCAGAGATCATTCTCGGTATGCCCTACGACTACTCCATCGACATGTGGTCCATCGGTGCCACCTTGTACGAGCTGTACACGGGCAAAATTCTCTTTGCAGGCGACAGCAACAATCAGATGCTCAAGGCCATTATGGAAATCCGTGGCAAGATCACGCCAAAGCTCTACAAACGGGGTCAACTCTCGGCGATGCACTTTGATGAAATGGGCAACTTTGTTAGCATGGAGCGGGACAAGGCGCTTGGAAAGGTACGTAATTGGTTCGTGGTCTCGGTGCTTGTTGTTTTCCTTGCATCTGTCTCCCACCCCTCTTCCCCATATCTCAACGCCTCTGCATTCTGCCTCGTTTCAAGACTTGAACCCATGACCCAATCATCCCTCAGAGATGCTATTTTGGCCGACGGGGCCACGAGATGGGTCTAGTTGAGGCGGAGTGCGGCTGTAAGCGCTGAGGCGCGACTGCACAGCACATGCGTACGCACGCATCCACCCTCCACAGCTATGCGGGCCGTCCGTCAGTCAAGTCCGAGCCCGTGCTCCGGAACGCTCGCGTCGCGATGCCGCCCAGCTGACGGGTTGGTCGTCGTCGACAGTGACCAGTCACGATACTGTTGGAGGCAAACACTTCGGACTGTTCGGACTCGCATGACTTGCTAGGGTGGAATGGTCCTCCAGTATGGAAGGTCCGCGAACAAATCCTCTCATCTTCGGAGGATGAGCTGTCTCAGGGACTGTTTGTCACGGCCGCATCATCCCAACTTCGCCCCCTATCTGTCTTCCCCTACTTGCCCCTGTTTTTGCCCCTTGTATCCTGCACAAAGGGTCCAACGCGTCGGGTCGATTTGTCAAAGTTGACAGGAAATGTTTCCCCCGACCGGAGGGTCCCTCCGCAGCAAGCCCATCCCGGTGGTCCCTCGCTACGCTATTGCAGCATTCCTCCTTTTTTTTTTTGTCAATGGACCGATGATGGGCCTTTTGTTTGAAGATAGTAGCAGAAAAGTTCAGCTGGTCGCTAACCAACATCCTCACACAGACAACCGCCAGGGTCCTGCCTGTAGTCAAACCAACGCGTGATCTGCGCACCCGCCTCTTTGCCGCGTCAGCGGGTATGAACGACGCCGAGACGAGGGACCTGAACCATTTTGTCGACCTGCTCGAGCACTGCTTGACGCTTAACCCGGAGAAGAGAATTAAACCCGCCGACGCGCTGAAGCATCCCTTCTTTACTGCGAAGGTCGCCGCACCTATGAAGAGATGAGGGGGCGTGGTGAGTAGTCCCTCGTTGGGAAGACACCGTTGGGTGTGTTTGTAGGATGAGGGTAGAGGGGTATTGGAGGTCATTGAGGCCATTACTCTTCTCCCAAGGTCATCCCGTTCAGCTTCGATCAGTGGCCGTGGCTAGGAAGTGTGGCTTGTAGATGGTTGTATGAGGATAAGGGAGGTACGATTCTTACTGCGAAGCGCCTCTTTAGACACAAGGAAAAGAATTAGATGAAATGGAGACGGCATTGACCTATGACTTTGTATGATGACTTTGGGTCCTCAGCGTGCCATCCTGCGAAGAAGCCTTTGACAACTCTATGCCTAACCTTGCGTGATATCCATCCTGGAGTCGGCTGGATACAACACGACGCATTCTTCCCATGACGGGGAAACGGGGTTGGACAGAAGAGAAGTTACGGTATCACGGGTACAGGTCAAAAGGCCCAGATCCTCTTCCGCCTCCTTTTCAACCATTATGTTCACGTCTCTCGCATCTCCACGTATCCCTGGCCTATGCTTCTCTCATCCGACCTTGCGAAGTGTCAAAGGGCTGGGGACCAGCGCACACCACGGGTGAATACCTGAATTCCAGATTTCTTTCTTTTTTTTTGACTCGTTTCCCGTGTCTATCCATGCTTGTAAGAAGAAGTTTGACCTTTTTAGAGGGCATGACTGTTGTAGACGCGATACCTGATAATTCAGCTGAGGAAACGTGGTCCCTGCTGGGTATAGTTCACCATGACACTTTTGTTTTACAAGGGACGAAAAGGAGTTGAAACCGAGAGTCAGGTGGCGGATCTGTCATAGTTGAACGAGGGTCCAAGGGCCCCCCTGGAGGTTCGAGATGTGAGGGTCGAGAGGCTCCGAAGGGCCAAAGGTCCCAGAAGGTCAAAGGTTTGAAGAGGCCAAGGGTTCAGGGGTTCAGAGACTAGGGGATGGATATCAGCTTTAGCATAGGCATTAATAGCACAGATCTTTCCGACTAATCTTTGCACACTTGGGCGAACTGACAAGGACACACGTAACATCGCTGTCAATGTCGCAGAGCTTGGATCATAGAGATGGCCCATGGCATCATGTCAAAATCCAGGATGGGAACTTTTTTCCCCGTGCGAATGGATCGCTTGTCTGTCATACAGCAGTAGAGTAAAGGGGTTCGGGAAATTGAAGTCCGTGATTGCTGTTCTCCCTCCTTTTTTCTTGGGCCTCGGGGTAGAGAGATCTTGGGATGTCGGGGGGGGGGGGAGGGGGGCGCGCGTCTCGGTGCGGATCCTTGAGACCGAGATAGTTGAGCTCGGATGGGTAGGAGTGAGCGTTGGCAAGAACGTGGTACGTGGGATTTTGGTGAATGGGTTAGATGGGATGTCTTTCTTTTTTTGAAGTCGGGTGAGTAGGGCGGGCATAGGGTGGAGGGGGGTAACTTAACGCCTTGGATTCATCAGGGTCCAACTTGACAGAGGTCGGGGCCCTCGTCTTTCTCGCGATTTCTTGGAATGACTATGGCGTCGGTGTTTCTTGGTCACAGGGTTTGAAAGGTATCACGAACTCACTCCAGTTCCTCCAGGAAGCTGTCCCAATATCTCGGTCCTTAGGTGTCAACGCAAATATGGTGATCCCGTGAGACGACGTCTTCCTAGGGACAGATGTCTGGACGACCTAGTTCAAGAACTGTGCGAGTACATGTTTGTCTTCTTCGTACTGCCTTCTGCAGGGTAATGGAGGGTTGTGTTGCTTGAGGTGGCATGTCTTCGTGACTAGAGACTAGCTCACAGGCACCACGCGAGGCTGAGATATCTCGTACCGTTTATGAAGAGTTGCGACGATGATGGTTACATTGACAACCTGAAAGACTTTCCACAAGGGCACGCCCACTCGACGAAGTGATGAAAATGCCGTTGGTGATATGGAGCTCCACACTAGGATATCACAAGGCTGGTGGAATTGTAAATCTAGCTCTAGCAAGACACATGGGGAAAAGAACACTGTACGTAAGCTCACCAAGTAATTCATTCGCCTTACACCCTCCCAAAGAGGACCTTAAAATGCTAGAAAAGCAAATCATGTTGATTTGGAAGAAACCATAATACGTAATGCCAGCCCATTTGCAGTCTCACTAAGCAAAATAACCCAATCTCATTCTAGAAACGAAACGAGAAAATGTTGCGAGGCTGAAATTCAGTAGTAGGCATTTTCGCGCGATATAAAACACCAGACCTACACCCCCGAGAACAAAAAATACTCATCTTCTACGACATGCGCAGATATATATTGGGATCAGGACAGATCCTATGTGAACACACACACACACCTGCCTTCCGAACAGGTTACGCTAGTCGTGATATCAATATCCCGCCTCGCTCGCCCATCTAAACCACAACCACCCTGCTCACATCGATATATCCTCGCTATAAAATCCTCGACTGCATGGAAATCCAACAAGTTCAAAATGCAACAAACGTCTAAATCCAGTCTGAGTCACCCAGCGCTTGTTATCATCGGAGGACAAAAACCAACAAGGCTGTCACTGCCTAGTCCCAACGCACACGTACCACCCGAACCGGGAGGCCACCTGCCTTAGAACGCAAGGCTACGCCCAGCCAACATTGACATCGTGACAGGGATCCAGGCAAGGTAGCCAACCATGAAAAACGCGGGAGGCAAAAGCAAATTCCCCCACACGAGCGCGAGACGCCTGCAGGAATGCTACAGGCGGCTTGCTGCCTTGCTAGGCTGGCAGGACACCCTTCTAATCACGTACGGTCGTCTATGTTGGCTCGTTGACGCGTCCGAATTCATCGTTCAGCTCGGCGCGCCGCAGGATTACATCTGATTCTACATTTACAGCTACGTGCATGGCATCAATCGGGTGGTATCCTCCCGGCTAGTGGAAGGGGTTTGCTGCCAAAATACAAAGGAATAAGGATGGAGGCACAGTTCCTATATGCATCGCCCTTGAATCACCAGGTCTCGCGGCCCTCGCCTGTCGTGCAAGCGGTTCACGGGTGCTCTCGAAATTGACCTTTCAGGTGAATCTCAGGTGAGCAGCAGCAGCAGCAGCAGCGGGGGCGGCGGCGACGAGCGTTGGGGGGTTTAGTCTGGCACAGCATCGTCTCGGTGTTGCACAGCGTCAATGACGGCCGCTGGAGTCTGGGAAAGAATACACTTTTGGGGAGGTGAGGCGTGGTCACCTCCCAACAGATGTTACAGCGACTGCGGCTACGTGCTTACCGCCAACCGCAACGGGCATCATTGGAATATAGCACAGGATGGCAACACGGAATCCTCCAGGTTCCTAATGCGCGGGCAGGGCGAGAGACCTGGCAGAATTCGGTTGCTGGACAAAGTCTTGTACCCGTACCGGTAGAGTCACGTAGGGGCATTTTCCGTTTGACGGAAAGCCCGTGGGTTGGAGGCCAGAATGCGGGATCCCGGTGGCTGGTATCCTATGGACCAACATAATCGACCTGCCTTACCAAGTACCGAAGAGGTTGGACCGAAGGGTACAGGTATGTGAGGCGAGCGAGGAAGAAAGGGAGAGAGGTGAGAGGGTATCACGATGCCGTCGTTGCACGGCGCCGGGAAACGGCAAGTCATGGATGAACGTTATTGCTTGATGCGGCCAGCCGGCGGGTAGTTGTACTGCACACCAGAGGACGGCAAGTTGTGATGGCGGCAGTCTAGCACAGGAATGGTAATGGTAGTCTGGACGCTGGATGGTGCGTAACGGCGTCGGCTGTGTCCCCGCCCCCCCCCGTGGTGCCCCCCGGTAGTGCCGAACGGAGATGGCGGGGGCCTCAATCAACGAGGCGGGGTAGAGCAGAGGGAGAGCCGGGGACGGGGGGCCTAAGGACCGACAGCCCTGCTGTGACCTGCCGCCCTGTCTCCGTGAGGTATAACTGAGTGAGTGGTGCATCCGTATGCCTTGCTGCGAGTACGGAGTATATCCGTAAGGCACTGATCAACGGCGACGACGTCGCAGGGTCTCCCGTTCGAAAGACGTACGGAGTCCGCTTCACTAGGGCTGTCGTCGCCCGCTGATTAACCATGAACCAAGGACCGTTGGGACCAACCAGCCAAGAAAACTCTCTCGATAACTTTTCCAATGATCGTCGTCCGGCGTTGGTTGGTTGGACGTACATAGTGTCGGGCACCCATCTTTGCTGCTCCATTCCCTGCATGCCTCAGTGCTCACAGGCTTACCCCCTGGGCCATGCTCTCATCATCATCGTCGTTCGACTCGCCGTGTTGGTACGTAACTGGGCGAGGTGGAATTAGGTTCGACACCCGGCGGAGAGAAAGAACAAGAAGAACATTCAATGCCACCCCGGACGTTGCATGATTGATCGACCCCTCTGAGATGGACCCTGAAATCCTCCACAGTAGTAGTAGGAGTGTAGGACCAACTTTTTTTTTAGTGGCATATCTTCGTTGGCACGGTTGGTCATGAATTCTGGTTATCCAAGAAAAGAATGTGCGTACCGCAGATCGGCCATCCGAGGCTTGCTGGTGCTACATTCTTTCGCGCGCATTGAGCAGATCGAGTCGATCTTCAAAATGGAGGGGGGGGGGGGGGACGACATTCTCCTGAGTTGCTGACCAGTGACGGCAGACGGCTGAAGGGGTGACGCCCGCGGGCCGTTTGGCTTATTGAGCCACGGCGCACCGTTGGGACGGTCGCTTAGATTGGTTGTCGGTGGCTTGTTGGACCCTGAAGCTTCGAGCCCTTCTAGTGGAATGCCATCACGTCGTTTGGCTTGTCTCGCCTCGGGAGACGAGAGGAGATATGACAGAACACACGCGCCATGGAACCACGCTTGACGCAAGGGGTGAGGTCATTGAACGGTCCTGGCGCACGCCGCCGCCCTTTTTAGGGGTCTAGTCCCTGACTTTGCATTGCTGAGCGAACCTCATGCTCTCTTAAGAAATTCAACTCGGAACTATTCTCGTGAATGGCGGCGGTTTGAGCGTCATTTACTCCTTGTGGTAGCTCGATGC